CAGTGGTCTTGTATGTCTTCCATTTCCTAATAATTGCTCCCACAGTTCATTTCTTCAAACCAAGCTGCTTACCTATTGCAGATTCAGTCTTCCCAGCCTGGTGCAGGTCTACAATTTTGTTTCTGGTGTCCTTTTACAGCTCTTTGGTCTTGGCCATAGTGGAGTTTGGAGTGTGACTGTTTGAGGTTGTGGACAGGTGTCTTTTATATTGATAACAAGTTCAAACAGGTGCCATTAATACAGGTAACGAGTGGAGGACAGAGGAGCCTCTTAAAGAAGATGTTACAGGTCTGTGAGAGCCAGAAATCTTGCTTGTTTGTAGGTGACCAAATACTTATTTTCCACCATAATTTGCAAATAAATTCATTAAAAATCCTACAATGTGATTTTCTGTATTTTTTTTTCTCAATTTGTCTGTCATAGTTGACGTGTACCTATGATAAAAATTACAGGCCTCTCTCATCTTTTTAAGTGGGAGAACTTGCACAATTGGTGGCTGACTAAATATTTTTTTCCCCCACTGTATATGAGCGGTCTTGCAGTTTGAAGTGTGCCTGCGTGCACAGTGTTAATTCTTACCATGCTTCAGATATAAAGCTGAATGTAATAGTACTTCAGTCTCCATTGTCAAGTTAATTCTACCGTGCCATCTAGAGCACGACATTGGGGCCTCTCTGAAATGCTCCCAGATCCGAAATATTTATGTTTGTGCTTTTCTATTAACCAATTTCTGTGTTCTGTTTGTGCTTTTCTATAAACCAATTTCTGTGTTCATGCAAGTGACTGATTGAACAAACCCTCACTATCAGTATCTGCAATTTGGCAGTACGCCCAGACCCTTGTTTTGAGAACTAAAGATATCCCAGTTTCAAGGTCTCAGCTTAGAGAGAAGAAGCCTTGTGAGGTAGTGGTCTGTCACATGAATGAAGCAGATGTTAATGATAAATGAATTATGAATAAGCTAAATCATGCAAATATGACTTGTCTCCAGTATATAAGAGAACTAACGGGACTGACCCGTTAGAGCTCCTGACAGACGTACATCTATGGTGCATCACGTTTGTTGGAACATCTCCAGCGCGCTGATAATAAACAATGATTCAGTTAAGATTGACTTTGAGTGTCCCTGTGTAAGAATTTCCACAACAGTCACATTTTAGTTTAGCCCGCGCTAGGCAGGCTGTATAGAAAACTCCCCCAGAGCCACAGAATGGCCGAACTACCGCAACGCACAGTTTTTGCCGAGGAGATCTTAGTCTTGCAATTTTACATCTAACTAAGACGTTTGGTGCAGTATTTCTCAATGAAAGAATTGGCAAGAAAACGAGTCATCTCTCGTTGAATGACAACAAAGACTTTACTGACGAAGCCCTACTGTTGACCAATCACCGACTTCAGCTACCGACTTCGGCTTGCCTCAAACAATGTTTTTGTGTACGCAAACAACCGAAACAACCCTTACCGAAGTCCAAAACTAACAAAATGTGGTCATAATATATGCACTAACTCTTCCGAACTGTTTCGGCTGGGAAGCATGTGGATGCCTTCCCGGTTGACATCCATGCTCACTGAAGCCCATGATAATGCTCTGTCTCTGCTGGTTGTTTGACAGCATCCACTTTGAGAATCAACTACTTGCTGAAGCACTCCTTCCATTGTTGATAGCCGTGGAAGTTCTTAGGGATTAAAATGTGCCCCGCAGATTGATGAGTAGACACCCAATTCGTCCGCCTCATTCTTAAAAATGTATTCCACTTTTTACAAAGTTTTTCATTCATTGCATGACGCTGACTGAGGCCGTTCCCCCAGCTTTTAGAACATAATATTATAACAGTGGGGCGGCAGGTAGCTTAGTGGGTAAGAGCGTTGTGCCAGTAACCGAAAGGTCGCTGGTTCTAATCCCCGAGCCGACTAGGTGAAAAATCTGTCGATGTGCCCTTAAGCAAGGCACTTAACCCTAATTGCTCATGTAAGTCGCTCTGGATAAGAGCGTCTGCTAAATGACTAAAATGTAAAAATGTAAATAACAATTGATTTAAGAGTTTGTAGTTTGGGAATGTTTTCTTGGGGCGCTCTAAGTTACTATTATATGCGTTTCTGGCATTGAAAAATAAGTGCTGGCGTGATTTAGGACTTCTAACCCCTTTTAAACATCATTGTGTGTTTGAGCCAATGGCAATTTTAGCATGTAAATCTTGGTGGGGCAAACCCCCCACATTTTTTGGGGATGCATGCCAGCAAAGCCACTACACAACACAACACTAAACAATATATGAATTGCACTATAAATTGTGAAAACAGTGTCCACAAACTGCGGAGACTCTCACGAACACGCACGTGAAACATGTATTTCTCTATGATACTCACAAGCTACACGAGTCGTTAGAAGGTAAGGGGTTCTTCTACATAATAGATCATAGGAAATCCCAGGATATAGTGTCTGTAACACTGTAACAAGCTCACATAGTTGCTGTCACAATCTCCAAACAGTTTTCACAGACCAGTTGAATATTAATTTCCCACTTAGCAAACAATTTCTGTACTTACAGCATTCATATAAATTCATTTCTTTCAGGTTTTTGCTTTGGCTTACTTTAATTTTTTTGTTGATATTCTTACAATAAAACTCATGAATGCAACTTGTTTTGTGTTCTACTTTTATCTAGTTGGTAGCTCTGGTTGTCCTGAAAATAAAAATGGTAAAACACTTAATTGTGTAAATTTAAAGGGCTAGACATACAGATTTTTGCTGGGGTCTCAGGACTGATAGGGTTAAGCCTAACTACAGTAATGGATGTTATGTTTTCATCAGGGCCCCACAAAAGATGAAGTAAACGTCATTGCCAACTTCACTTTTTGTTTGCTATTTCATGCAGCCACAGAACACAAAGAAGCAAAACAAATGATTTAGTATTTCGCATTGTTTAAAGATGCACTATGCAGAAATCACTCAGCCATTTCCTGGTTGCAAAAATTGTAAGTTAGTCTAATTTCAGTTTATATGACAACAAGCAAGTATAGTGTAGAGAATCGTTGTACCATCTAAACTGCTGTGAAATATATAACCAAATATATTGTATTTTCAGCTGTTTGAAGGTGTACAAAACCAAAAGTAAGACGAAAAACCTAAAAGAATGGGAAGCATAGAAATAGCACACATAGAACAGATCTACCGCTTCTTAGACTTGCTTTCAATGAGTGACAGATCTATAACTAACATTTCCATGTGAATTTCGTCGGGGGTCGCCCAAAAGTTATATATTGCAGCTTTAAAGTTCAGAAACATCATTCACGCATAGTAGTGAGACAGGGTGTGTAAGTATGCCTCCTGGATAATATGGTAAAGTTGGCCTCGTAGGTTATAGGCCCTTGAACAAATAAATTAGACCAAGGACCTCTAAAATCCATTAGATTAAACTTGTTTAATGAAGCCAGCAATGCGAAAACTAAATTCATTATTTAGAAAAAATGAAGTTATCACATTGGGAGAGAGAGCGCTCATCGACTTTTAGATTGCTTAGAACACCAGTAAAATAAAATATGCTAACTGAAACAAGAATGAGAAAGGACCCAAGCATAACAGTTATCAGTATTGGTAAATATGAATAAACTAAACTTATTTGCAGATGACAGGGCCAGGTTAATGCAGGGGCTGAAGCTACTGGGCCCAGGCCTGTGGGGGGCTCAAGAGGCAACCCAAAAAATATATTCAGTATATATTATATATGTAGTATATGTTTTTGATTTTTTCTATGCAACCGCCAACCACAGGAGGATTTAGGACCTTGCTGCCACGCTGCTAATCGTTAGATGGGGGGGGGCCCATGTGGGTAACTGGGGGGTCCTGACTTGATTGGGTGAAAAAAAAATTGCAGTCTAAACTTCATGACTTTTGATCACATGGTTCTTGTAAAGTTCATGGAGTCGACATGTAGGCGCAAGTCAGACCATTTTTATCCCCATAATGCAACACAGTTTGAAAGGCAACTAGACAAAGGTGATCCGCTCGAACGCGCCGACATTCATCCACACAAAGGCAAACGAATACTGTATGCCTTTGATTTTATTAGGCAAATGGATTGATAAAGAAAACCACACATTGGATAAATATACTTCCAGGTCAAAACAAAATACAAAACAAGTGTACACCCCATTTTATGGCATCTGAAAGCAACAGTGCTCTGTAGAGGACAGGGTGGGTGCTGTCAAAACCCGGTTCCCTGACTGTTCTCTCTGGACACACCAAGCTTCTGCTTAGCTAAGTTCCATTCACTGTACTATGAAAGCTAGCTATTAAAAATATTGCCTAGTCAGACCATTACTCTGTTCCAGCTGGCTGATAGACGTTATTAGATAGGTACTATTTGGTGTAGCAGAGAATTTTCAACCAACCTTAAAAAGACTGCTGATACTGCTTCAATTCCCGACTTGGAAGACAACCAATGTCTTCTAAATGGCCATGTGTCGTTGCAGGGGTTTGTTTAAGCAATAAGGCATGACGGGGTGTGGTATATGGCCAATATACCATGGCTAAGGGCTGTTCTTATGCACGACGCAACGCAGAGGTGCCTTATTGCCATTATAAAACTGGTTACCAACGTAATTAGAACAGTAAAAATACATGTTGTCATACAGTCTCATACCACAGCTTTCAGCCTGTCAGCATTCAGGCCTCGAACCACCCAGTTTATAATTTAGAACAGCTGTTATTAAATATAAAATTAACGTTTTGCTCCATGAAGTAATCCAATGTACGTCACCATCTTGTCCATTTTAAATCTTCTCTCATTGATTGAGACAGGTGGGTGTCCACCACAAAGTGCTGCATTTCATGACACTCGCCTGTCTCAATCAATGAGAGATTATTTGAAATAGACAAAATGGCAGCGTACACATTTTTGGATTACTTCATGGAGCAAAACGTTTATTTTATTTAATAACAGATGTTCTAAATTAAATTATAAACTGGGTGGTTCGAGGCCTGAATGCTGAGGTATATGAGACCGTATATGACTGTTCTAATTACATTGGTAACTTCATGGAGCATTTTCTAAATTCAAACAAAGCCCCTGCAACTAGACGTTGACGTTTAGGAAGACATTGATTTTCTTCCAAGTCGGGAATTGAGGAAGTTTCACCAAGTTAATGTTGGTCGGAAATGTTCTGGTTTACGCCAAACAGTACCTAACCTGTAACGGCTAATGGAGCTTCACATTAGCCCGTTGCTAACTATATGAAAGCATGTAGCACAGGAGAATGCCGACTGGAACAGAATGTATGTAAGTGCAAGTGGATTCCAGAACACACTAAGAAACAGTCCTGTAAACACAGAAGGAGTAAGAGCTGAAGTTGAACCAAGCAGTTGGGTAGGTTAGTAATGCACAGAAGAATGGGAACAGTCAAAGTAGCTTGTTACGGTCAATGGTAATATCTGACTGTATTCCATTCTGCATACTTCCATGTCCAGTCGAGAGCACCCAAATGAGCATGAAAGTGGATTTCCAGTCTTTTCTGTACACTGTTTTAACTCCTGTTCAGCTCAGGCTCCCTCCCTCAGTCACAGACAGGCTCCATCAGGGCTCGTGGCTATTGGTCAATGCCCTCTCCCATCTCTGCCTCATTGCTGGGGGCGGAGCCTTCTTGTTCTGGGTCGCCTGGGAGCACGTCTGTGACCTTCTGAATGAGCTCCTCAATCTGGTCCTCTGACAACCGCTCCTCACTCTCCTCTACCATCTACACACACACTTAGAGTTAATCTCACCCACAACAACAGAAGGAGAGAATAAAGAGTGAAGGTTAAGTGTGGTCTCACCAGTTGGATCTCTACAGCAGTCTCTGGTCTGTGGTTCAGTAGCTGCAGCTTCTCAGCCCTATGGACAAACAATACATCACTGTCAGTGTGTGTAATATGTGTCCGTATGACGTCTGTTTCAATAGCATGTAACAGTTACATTTGTGTTTGACAGATATCAGATTACACAGTGGGTGGTGTGTGTGTGTTTTGCCATTCACTTGGTGAGTTTGTGAGGCACCATGGTGGTAAGGAAGTTCTTGACAGTCTCTGGGTTCTGCCTGCTGCATGGAGTCGTGGATAGGTACTTCAGCGTCTGGAAAGAGAGACACAGGAGGTTAAGACACAACATGTGTGTGCTGCAACCCTGTACATGAAGTTCTACTGGTCTCTGCCTACAGTGTGTTTGTGAGTGTGTACCCTTCATGGCACTAACCTAATACATAAAAATGTTGAGGTTCTGTGGTGTGTGGGTTACTAACCTCATACATGATGGTGTTGAGGTTCTGTGGTGTGTGGGTTACTAACCTCGTACATGATGGTGTTGAGGTTCTGTGGTGTGTGGGTTACTAACCTCGTACATGATGGTGTTGAGGTTCTGTGGTGTGTGGGTTACTAACCTCGTACATGATGGTGTTGAGGTTCTGTGGTGTGTGGGTTACTAACCTCGTACATGATGGTGTTGAGGTTCTGTGGTGTGTGGGTTACTAACCTCGTACATGATGGTGTTGAGGTTCTGTTGTCCAGCGCTGTGTTTGTTCTTCCCACTGTCCTTTCGCTGTTCCTTCAGATCTGTCAGGAGCTGGTAGACCTAGGAGAGAGACAGATAGAGGGGATGCAAATACATGTAAATACAGTGATCAAAATGATGGCTAAAACACATGTAAAAACAGACAAATAATATAAATTACCTCATAGTTGCTGAGCATAGCAGCATTGGCATCCTTTCTGAAAGATAAACATGACACAGACAGTTGATTGAAAAGGACTAATATCTTACAGTATAATACCACGGGATTGTACTACATACTTGACTCACTCAACTAGTGGAAATGTGGAAGACCCCCTGTGCCTCCACCACCAAAACTACAGATTTATAGTGGTAATCTTTGTTGATTTGTGAGATTTCCTAAAGTCAAAATGTCTTTTTCAAATAGTCCTTGAACCAGCAGGTTAGCGTTTTTCATCATGAATCATGTTCTGGATGCAGTTCTGCAGAGTGGTCACTAGCTGGCACAGCCACAAAGTCATACAATCTGATTTCAAACCTAAACTTAACCACACTGGTAACCCTAATGCCTAACCCTAACCTTAAATTAAGACTAAAAAGTCAATTTTGACTTTGCAGCTGGCCTATCTAAGGCTTAAGGGGAAATCGCTCAGTTCTGCATCCAGGACAAGACTCATGACAATAAACGTCAACCTGCGTACTGGTAGTCATCGTAGGAAAACGACCGACCCAGAAAGAAAACCATGTTATAAGACCTAGCTAGCTAATCGTACCTACTCTAGTTATTTAGCTAGAAAATACATGATTCCATACTCATCATGATCAGGCACTAGGCATTCAGACATTACGATGTAGGCCTAGCTATCATCTTTCTTATATTAATCATCATGTGTGTTGCGTGCACTGCTGAGTCTTTACAGGAAAAGCTATCTCGATATTTCACAAGAAAAAAAACTTATACACAACAGTTAAACCATTTAAACAAAAACATAAATCTATGTCGATGAAATGAGTAGCTACGATTCGTTGTAGAAATTGCCAGAAAATGCTTACACTTCCATTTAGCCAGCAACTCTTGCTTGGTCCGTTGCCAAATTAATCCGGTTGGGGAAAAAATTGCTGAGAAGATGAGTTCCTAGCCCGCAGACATTTATACAACTCCTGACATTACCGTTCTCCTAGCAGCAGGATATTATGCAGGCAGCATTATCGCGGATTTTCTTTTTCAGAATAAGAGTTCCCTGCAAAGACATGCTAAACTTTGGGAATATATTTGTTTTAGGAGTCTAGTGCAGCATAACTGTTTTTCACAGCATTGCACCCACCTCTGAAAAAGTTAATGAATAATTTGACATCTTTTTATTATTATTATTGAAAGTTTACACATTTTACACAAATACTAGTATGCTGAAAGCTATTGTTCAGGCTATATTTAAAGCAATACACTTTTAATAAAATACAAATACACACTGAGTGCACAAAACATTAAGAGCACCTTCCTAGTTTGCCCTCAGAACAGCCTTTAATTGAACCTGTCTCCTCCCCTTCATCTACACTGATTGAAGTGGATTTAACAAGTGACATCAATAAGGGATAATAGCGTTCACATGGATTCACCTGGTCAGTCTATGTCATGTAAAGAGCAGATGTTCTTAATGTTTTGTACACTCAGTGTATGTTATTGGAATTACTCAATAGAGTCTGCAAAACTTAAAAGGGTTTCTTGTGCTGGGCAACAGGTTTAATACAGAGTACTGGTGACTCCATACTCCACCAAACTCCATTCACTGCAATGCAATACACGGTCTATGAGATACTTATTAGCTTGTAGAGAGAGCTTTTCTACCCGTCTCAACTAAAGTGGGGTGGGAATACTCAGTAGGGTCTCTACTAACCAAATATGGTGAGGGGGACTGTGTTGCACGGCCTGCTGCTGGCTTTTCACTATGGAGGGGGTGGAAAACGAAGTGCTGCTGGGTATGTGCGACACAGTCCCCCTCCAAAACTACACATATTTGGTTAGTAAAGACCCTAATGAGTATTTTCCACCCCACTTTAGCTGAGACAGGTAGAAACGTTTTCTCTCTATAGCCCAATATTCTCAACATACCATTGACAACTTTGTATTTTTTTCTTCATTATTGGTCTGAAAAAATGTTTTTAAAAACATATTTTTTATTGTTTTCTCACAAATTTCTTAATTCATTTTCTTGCACAATAAAGGTGGCCATTGATTAAAATTCAATATAATTTGAATGAGTTATCCACATTGCAATGTTTTGACCTCGCCCGCTATCATCCAAAAGTACATAATCAGTACAGGTGCATCAAGCTGGGACCAAGAGACTGAAAAACAGCTTCTATCTCAAGACCATCAGACTGTTAAATAGCCTTCACTAGCACATTAGAGGCTACTTGCCTTCACTACCGGTCAAAAGTTTTAGAATACCTACTCATTCAAAGGTTTTTCTTTATTTTTACTATTTTCTACATTGTAGAATAATAGTGAAGACATCAACACTATGAAATAACACATATGGAATCATGTAGTAACCAAAAAGGTGTTAAACAAATCAAAATATATTTTATATTTGAGATTCTTCAAATAGCCACACTTTGACTTGATGACAGCTTTACACACTCTTGGCATTCTCTCAACCAGCTTCTCCTGGAATGCTTTTCCTTCACTCTTTTATTTGTACTTTTATTTTTTATTTAACCTTTATTTAACCAGGTAAGCCAGTTGAGAACAAGTTCTCATTTACAACTGCGACCTGGCCCAGATAAAGCAAAGCAGTGCGATAAAAACAACAACAACACAGTTACATGTGGAATAAACAAAACGTACAGTCAATAACACAATAGAAAATCTATATACAGTGTGTGCAAATGTAGTAAGTTATGGAGGTAAGGCAATAAATAGGCCATAGTGCAAAATAATTACAATTTATTATTAACACTGGACTGATAGATGTGCAGAAGATGATGTGCAAATAGAGATACTGGGGTGCAAATTTGCAAAATAAATAACAATGTAAATAACAATATGGGGATGAGGTAGTTGGGTGGGCTAATTACAGGTGCAGTGATCGGTAAGCTGCTCTGACAACTGATGCGTAAAGTTAGTTAGGGAGATAAGTGTCTCCAGCTTCAGAGATTTTTGCAGTTCGTTCCAGTCATTTGCAGCAGAGAACTGGAAGGAATGGCGGCCAAAGGAGGTGTTGGCTTTGGGAATGACCAGTGAGATATACCTGCTGGAATGCATACCACGGGTGGTTGTTGCTATGGTGACCAATGATCTAAGATAAGACGGGGATTTGCCTAGAAGTGATTTATAGATGACCTGGAGCCAGTGGGTTTGGCGATGAATATGTAGTGAGGGCCAGCCAACAAGAGCGTACAGGTCACAATGGTGGGTAGTATATGGGGCTTTGGTGACAAACAGCTGGCACTGTGATAGACTACATCCAATTTGCTGAGTAGAGTGTTGGAAGCTATTTTGTAAATGACATCGCCAAAGTCAAGGATCGGTAGGATAGTCCGTTTTACGAGGGCATGTTTATTAGCATGAGTGAAGGAGGCTTTGTTGCGAAATAGGAAGCCGATTCTAGATTTAACTTTGGATTGGAGATGCTTAATGTGAGTCTGGAAGGAGAGTTTAGAGTCTAACCAGACACCTAGGTATTTGTAGTTGTCCACATATTCTAAGTCAGACCCGCCGAGATTAGTGATTCTAGTCGGGCGGGTGGGTGCAAGCAGCGCTCGATTTTTAGTTTTACTAGCGTTTAAGAGCAGTTGGAGGCCACGAAAGGAGTGTTGTATGGCATTGAAGCTCGTTTGGAGGTTTGTTAACACAGTGTCCAATGAAGGGCCAGATGTATACAAAATGGTGTCGTCTGCGTAGAGGTGGATCTGAGAGTCACCAGCAGCAAGAACGACATCATTGATATACACAGAGAATATAGTCGGCCCGAGAATTGAGCCCTGTGGCACCCCCATAGAGACTGCCAGAGGTCCAGACAACAGGCCCTCCGATTTGACACATTGAACTCTATCTGAGAAGAAGTTGGTGAACCAGGCGAGGCAGTCATTTGAGAAACCAAGGCTATTTAGTCTGCCAATAAGAATGTGGTGATCGACAGAGTCAAAAGCCTTGGCCAGGTCGATGAAGACAGCTGCACAGTACTGTCTTTTATCGATCGCGGTTATTATATCGTTTAGGACCTTGAGCGTGGCTGAGGTGCACCCATGACCAGCTCGGAAACCAGATTGCATAGCAGAGAAGGTACGGTGGGATTCGAAATGGTCGGTGATCTGTTTGTTAACTTGGCTTTCAAATACTTTCGAAAGGCAGGGCAGGATGGATATAGGTCTGTAACAGTTTGGATCTAGAGTGTCACCCCCTTTGAAGAGGGGGATGACCGCGGCAGCTTTCCAATCTCTGGGGATCTCAGACTATACGAAAGAGAGGTTGAACAGGCTAGTAATATGGGTTGCAACAATTTCGGCGGTTGATTTTAGAAAGAAAGGGTCCAGATTGTCTAGCTCTGCGGTCCGACTGATCCCAAACCATTTCAATTTGGTTGAGGTTGGGGGATTGTGGAGGCCAGGTCATCTGATGCAGCACTCCATCACTCTCCTTCTTGGTAAAATAGCCCTTACACAGCCTGGAGGTGTGTTGGGTCATTGTCCTGTTGAAAAACAAATGATAGTCCCACTAAGCCTAAACCAGATGGGATGGCATATCCCTGCAGAATGCTGTGGTAGTCATGCTGGTTAAGTGTGCTTTGAATTCTAAATTAATCACAGACAGTGTCACCAGCAAAGCACCCCCACACCATCTGATGTGGAAAATAATCACTATACTTTATTAAAAATCAAAGTTCTTCCAGAGTTTTTGTAGAATCAAGATTTACTTTATTACAATTCAACAAAGCCGGGCTGGTCTGTAGAGTAGCCTACCCCTCTCTCTCTCTCCTCCCCGTATATATAGTCCCATTCACATCCCTCCTAGCTCAAAGCCCCTCCCTCTTGGGTTCTCCTTCCATTATCTTCAGTTTCCCGCTCTCTACCGCTCCGCCCACTCCCTTCGTCTATGATAGCGGCTTAATTTGACTGTCATTTCATTTTAGAAACAATATTATTACAATTCATCACACCCTTGTCATGCAAAAACAATCATGTTCAGTTTTAAACTCTGTTCAACCCTGGCTCACCCTGGCTTGACCTGAAGATTGATTGTTGGACATGACAGGTCCACACTCAACCTCTCAAACGTACACAAACCCACTCCTCTTCTTCCCTCCCATCATGCTGTAATTACTCATGACTAGTCTAAACTCTGTTAAACTCTGGCGCCGCACTTTGTTTGAGAAAATATGCATTAGGCAACAGTCTGGTTTCAGTCTCTGATAAGGTAGGACAGCCATGGATTAGGTAAGAGCGAGCAATTTGACCCTAGGTCAGATCCCCACTTCACACACACACACACACACACACACACAGTGAAATGAACCAATTAAGTTATTGCCTAGCAACAGAGATTTCTAACTATATGTTCGTGAATCACTAAAAAATCCACCTCACATCACACCTCCTCCTCCATGCTTTATGATGGGAAATACACATGCGGAGATCATCCATTCACCCATATGCACCTCACAAAGACATGCCGGTTGGAACCAAAAATCTCAAATTTGGACTCCAGACCAAAGGACACATTTCCATCGGTCTAATGTCCATTGCTTGTGTTTCTTGGTCCCAAGCAGGTCTCTTCTTATTATTGGTGTCCTTTAGTAGTAGTTTTTTTGCAGCAATTCGACCATGAAGGCCTGATTCACACAGTCTCCTCTGAACAGATGATGTTGAGATGTGTCTGTTACTTGAACTCTGTGAAGCATTTATTTGGGCTGCAATTTCTGAGGCTGGTAACTCTAATGAACTTAACCTCTGCAGCAGAGGTAACTCTAGGTCTTCCATTCCTGTGGTGGTCCTCATGAGAGCCAGTTTCATCATAGTGCTTGATGGTTTTTGCGACTGCACTTGAAGAAACTTTCAAAGTTCTTGAAATGTTCCGTATTGACTGACCTTCATGTCTTAAAGTAATGATGGACTGTCGTTTCTCTTTGCTTATTTGAGCTGTTCTTGCCATAATATGGACTTGGTCTTTTACCAAATAGGGCTATCTTCTGTATACCCCCCTTACCTTGTCACAACACAACTGATCGGCTCAAACGCATTAAGAAGGAAAGAAATTCCACAAATTAGGCACACCTGTTAATTGAAATTCATTCCAGGTGACTACCTCATGAAGCTGGTTGAGAGAATGCCAAGAGTGTGCAAAGCTGTCATCAAGGCAAAGGGTGGCTATTTGAAGAATCTCAAATATAAAATATATTTTGATTTGTTTAACACTTTTTTGGTTACTCCATGATTCCATATGTGTTATTTAATAGTTTTGATGTCTTCACTATTATTCTACAATGTTGAAAATAGTAAAAATAAAGAAAAACCCTTGAATGAGTAGGTGTTTTAAAACGTTTGACCGGTAGTGTATATACATAGATTAGAAATCACTGGACACTTTAATAAATGGAACACTAGTCACTTTAATAATGTTTACATATCTTGCATTGCTCATCTCATATGTATATACTGTAGTCTATAATATTCTACTGTATCTTAGTCAATGGCCACTCTGACATTGCTCGTCCATATATTTATATATTCTTAATTCCATTGCTTTACTTAGATTTGTGTGTATTGGGTATATGTTGTGAAATTGTTAGATATTACTTGTTAGATATTACTGCACTGTCGGAGCTAGAAACACAAGCATTTCGCTACACTCGCAATAACATTGCTAAACACGTGAATGTGACCAATGACATTTGATTTGATTTGAAATGCAGGGTTTTATTTTGAAGGTTTCAACATTACCATGCGAAAGTGACGTAATTGTTTGTGCTGCTGGCAGTATACTAGTATTTATGACTGCCTCCAGCTGTGCTTGTTTGTTGATTATCGTTTTGCCTCTTATCACACTATTTGTTCACTGTCATCGGCGTTTTGCTGATCCTAGGTAGTGAACAGTTAGCCAGCTACGGCATCTTTGAGAGAAGAGAATGGCGAGTGCAGATGTAAGATAACTTTTCGATGTATCTCTTTATTAAAACTGTTGATTTAGCTAAACTCGTCCACGTGTGGCTTTGTGTATGTCCAGGGATTGTTTTCATTGCGCTGTGCAGTCAAATCAGCTGTCCAGAAGCTTGGACAACATGGGTCTTCTCTAGGTTAAATAAATGCTAGCTTGTTGGATCTAGTGGTTCTTCTTCAACGAAAAGTAGCGCTGACAGGTGTCAATGTTGTTTGCTTGTTAGCTAGCTTCTTTGTGTCAATTTTTTTGACTAAAAAAATGACACTGCCTATGCTGTGTGTCTTGTCTGTCTGTCCTGTCTTTTTCTGTTTGTCTGTCTGCCGGTGCCTGTCTGTTTTTTTCTGTCTGCCTGCCTGTCTGTTTTTCTGTCTGTCTCTATCAGGGGAGTAAACTGTGGGGAGGTCGGTTCGTGGGTGACACCGACCCGATCATGGAGAAATTCAACGCGTCCATCGCCTATGACAAGCGGATGTGGGACGCAGACATCCGTGGCAGCAAAGCGTATGCCAAAGCCCTGGAGAAGGCCAAGCTGGTCACTGCAGAGGAGATGGACAAGATCCTACATGGGATGGACCAGGTGAACACACACGCACCTCTATATTTTTTTATTTAACCTTTATTTAACTAGGCAAGTCAGTTAAGAACAAATTCTTATTTACAATGATGGCCTACCAAAAGGCAAAAGGCCTCCGGCTGGGTTTAAAAATATAAATATAGGACAAAACACACATCACGACAAGAGACACCACAACACTACATAAAGAGAGACCTAAGATAGCATGGCAGCAACACAACATGGCAGCAGCACAACATGGTAGTAGGGCAAAACATGGTACAAACATTATTGGGCACAGACAACAGCACAAAGGGAAGAAGGTAGACCATTGACAATAATCAATAACAATGTATTAATAGAAAAAAAACACACAAGAAATACAAATAGGAAATACACAATAAAGTAAGTAAGTAAGCATACTATATACAGGACATATTTAAAAAGTAAGTTCCAATACCATGTTTACATGTGCAGGGATACTGGAGTGATATATATCTATAGGGGTAAGGGGACTAGGCAACAGGATATAAGATAAACAGAATAGCAGCAGGTTGTATCTGAGTGTGCATGTGTGTAGAGTCAGTATAAATGTATGTGCATATTATGGGTGAGTGAGAAAATGATGGAGTGAGTGTTTATGTGTGTGTTGGAGTGACAGTATGTGTGAGTTTGTAGGGCCCTGTGAGTGTGCATAGAGACAGTGCAAAGATTCAAATGAAAGGTCAATAAAGGTTAACTCAGTCCGTGTAGCTATTTTGTTAGCTAATTATCAGTCGTATTGCTTGGGGATAGAAGCTGTTCAAGAGCCTGTTGGTGTTAGACTTGATGCACCGGTACCTCTTGCTGTGCGGCAGCAGAGAAAATTGTCTATGGCTTGGGTGGTTGGAGTCTTTCACGTTTTTCCGGGGCCTTCTTTTCACACCGCCTGTGATAGAGGTCCTGGATGGCAGGGAGCTCGGCCCCAGTGATGTACTGGGCTGTCCACACAACCCTCTGTAGCACCATGCGATCGAAGGCGGTGCTATTGCCATACCAACCAGTGATGCAGCCAGTCAATATGCTCTCAATGGTACAGCTGTAAAACCGTTTGAGGATTTGAGGGCCCATGCCAAACTTTTTGAACCTCTTGAGGGGGAAGAGGCACTGTCTCGAAATCTTCACGACTGTGTATGTGTGTTTGGACCATTTTAAGTATTTAGAGATTTGGACACCGAGGAACTTAAAGCTGTCTACCTGCTCCACTGCCGCCCGGTCAATGTGGATGGAGTTGTGCTCGCCCCCCCCGTTTCCTGTAGTCCACGATCAGCTTTTTGGTCTTACTGATGTCGAGGTTGTTGCTCCGTCACCACACTGCCAGGTCTCTGACCTCCTCCCTGTAGGCTGACTCATTGTCGCTGGTGATCAGGCCTACCACCGTTGTGTTGTTAGCGAACTTGATAATGGTGTTGGAGTCATGCGTGGCCACGTAGTCGTGGGTGAACAGGGAGTACAGGAGGGGACTAAGCACACACCCCTGTGGGGCCCCTATGTTAAGGGTCAGCGTGGCGGAGGTGATGTTGCCTACACTCACCACCTAGGGGCGGCCCGTCAGGAAGTCCAGGATCCAGTTACAGAGGGAGGTGTTCAGACCCAAGCTGTGTTCGAATACCCAGACTAACATACTGTATGCTACATACTTAATGAGTATATACTACATACTATTAGTTCATTTTAGTATACTGTAAACAAATGGTATCCTTTCAGTTGAGCGTACTAGCGCTTCGCCTGTCTACCGGAAGTTAATGCAGTTGCTATGTAACCTCTTGCTAGCTTGTTAGCATAACAAAAGACTAGCTAGACATTTTACAATTTCGGGTGTGTTCGTAAATTCAATCTAGAGTGCCAGAGTGTGCTCAGAGCAGAGTGTGCTCAGAGCAGAGTGTGCTCAGAGCAGAGTGTGCTCAGAGCAGAGTGTGCTCAGAGCAGAGTGTGCTCAGAGCAGAGTGTGCTAAGAGCAGAGTGCGCTCAGAGCAGAGTGCGCTCAGAGCAGAGTGCGCTCAGAGTGCGCTCAGAGTGCGCTCAGAGTGCGCTCAGAGTGCGCTCTGGGCTTTCGTAAATCCAGAGCGTTGTCAGATTGTCTGTTCGTAAATTCAGAGCCTTTTTGCTCTTGGAGCGCGTCACTGGACGCTCTGGCCGAGGAGTAGGGTTGACATGAGTGTTCTGACCTCACAACGGCAGTCAAGCACCCAAGCTAACTGGCTAATGTTGGCTAGCTTGCTAGCTATTTCCACACAGAAATGAGAGAACACCTCACTATGACCATTTTACTCGCCCTAGCAGAGCTGTTTAGGCTGTTTTCATTTTATCCAGAGCGTTGGTGACTGTAATTGTGCTGCTGGCAACAATTTAATTATGCTTTTTTTTGCCGATGTTTACTGACACCAGCCATATATTCAACGGGTGTTGAGCGTTCGTAAATTCATCAGTTATTCTGCGCTCTGGCACACTCAGACGAGAGTGCTCTGAAATCGGAGTAGATAGCCAGAATTAACAATGTCCATTGAGAACGCACAATGACTATACCACTTAGCTAAGAATGACGTGAATAAGTCAATAAACATTGGGAAATTAGTTAGATTATAGTTAATATACTGCCTGGCAAGTTCGATATATTAGTAGCCAACTAACGTTAGGTAACTAGCTATCATACCCGTACATACTGCTGTAATGCTATGCGGTTTGTAAGGATAGCGTAACTAACAAATTGTCAGCCAACATAACGTGTATCGTAACTTATTTGAAAAGTCATTACTTTATTACATTGCTCGACATTTTCTTAAATTTGTCATAATTAGTTAAAGCAATGAATTTGTATCCGCTCTCGTCGGACTTCGGCTGCATATTTTCCACAATTTTCTTCAAATCTGAAAACATTGTGAAACCACGCCCATTTTCTGAACAATTGCATTATGGGCCCTAAAAGCACAGAAATAGTGTCCACTGCTTGTATACTTCGTATTTTGCCGAATTTAGTACGACATCCGGGAACTTTTGGCATACTAACTATATCCATACTATGACCAATAAGCTTACTACAATTTAAGTCACAAATAGTACTGTTAGTGAGGTTAGTGCGGTTAGTATGAGTATTCAAACACAGCTCCAGAGTCCTATGTGTCGGGGGGCTGGGGTTAGTTGGTTATACCTGGAGTACTTCTCCTGTCTTATCCAGTGTCCTGTGTGAATTTAAGTATGCTCTCTCTAATTCTCTCGTTCTCTCTTTCTCTCTGAGAACCTGAGCCCTAGGACCATACGTCAGGACTACCGGGCATGATGACACCTTGCTGTCCCCAGTCCGCCTGGCCTTGCTGCTATTCCAGTTTCAACTGTTCTGCCTGCGGCTACGAAACCCCTACCTGTCCCAGACCTGCTGTTTTCAACTCTTAATGATCGGCTATGAAAAGCCAACTGAGAGACCTGAGCCCTAGGACCATACGTCGGGACTACCGGCCGTGGTGACTCCTTGCTGTCCCCAGTCCGCCTGGCCTTGCTGCTATTCCAGTTTAAACTGTTCTGCCTGCGGTTATGGAACCCCTACCTGTCCCAGACCTGCTGTTTTCAAACTCTTAATGATCGGCTATGAAAAGCCAACTGAGATTTATTCCTGATTATTATTAGCTTGGTGACGAGCTTGGAGGGGACAATGTTGTTGAACGCTGAGCTGTAGTCAATGAACAGCATTCTCACATAGGTATTCCTCTTATCTAGGTGGGTGAGGGCAGTGTGGAGAGCAATTGAGATTGCGTTATCTATGGATCTGTTGGGGCGGTATGCAAAATGGAGTAAGTCTAAGGTGGCTGGGATGGTGGAGTTAATGTGTGCCATAACCAGCCTTTCAAAGCACTTCATGATTACAGAAGTCAGGCCGCCTACAGGGCGGTAGTCATTGTAGCATTAAGCCTTAGAGTTATTAGGAACAGGAATGATTTGTGGTCATCTTAAAACATGTGGGGATTACAGACTGGGACAAGGAGAGGTTGAAAATTACCATGAATATGCCTGCCAGCTTTTCTGCGCATGTCTAAGAACGCGCCCTGGAATGCTGTCGGGGCCCGCAGCCTTGCGGGTGTTGACCTGATTAAAGACCCTTCTCGCGTCGGACTCGGAGAGCGAGATCACCCAATCCTCTGGGTTGGTGGCGGCCCTCACACCCGGCTCGATGTTGTTGTTGTCAAAGCGTGCATAAAATGCATTGAGTTCATCTGGTAGAGCGGCATCGTTGGGCAGGTCATGGTTGGGTTTTCCTTTGTAATCCGTAATGGACTGTAGCCCCTGCCACATGGGGTGGGCATCGGAGCCTGTGTAGTATGATTCCACCTTATTCCTATATTGTCTTTTTGCTCATTTGATGACTCTGCGGAGGTCATAGCGAGACTTCTTATACTTGTTCCTGTCCTTAGCTGTAGCCTCAGGGTTATCTGCGATAGCTCTGTGTGCGGTAGCCCTGTTCTTTAGTTTAGCGCCAACCTCTGTGTTAATCCAGGGCTTTTGATTGGGGAAGCATCAAACCCTCATCGTGGGTACAACGTCGCCGATGCATTTTCTAATGAAGCCGGTAACGGAGGTGGTTAGCTGGTCGACGTTATCGGCGGAGTCTCGAAACATATTCCAATCAGCGCTAGCAAAGCAGTCCTGTAGCATAACCTCTGATTCTGGTGACCTTTTTCTCAACGGAGTGAATCGTGGGTACTTCCTGTTTCAGCTTCTGCTTGTAAACAGAAAGCAAGAGTACGTGATCTGATTTGCAGAATGGCGGACGAGGGCGTTCTATGCTTGCTTGTGGTTAGAATAGCAGTGGTCTAGGACTTTATCGCCCCTAATGGCATTTGAGACGTGTTGCTGGAAGTTGGCCATCACGTGTCTTAGTGACACCGAATTAAAATCGCCGGCAACCAGAAAGGCAGCCTCTGGGTGTAGGTTTTCCTGCTTGTTTATAGCCTTGTACAGTTTAAGTGCCAGCTTCTTCTTTTTTTTGTCCTGAGGTGGAATGCATACAGCAGTCACGATAACAGCTGAAAACTCCCTCGGGAGGTAGAAGGGTCGACATTTGACCATCAGGTATTCCAAGACGGGTGAACAGTGGGTCGAAACTTCCACCGCGCTGGAATTAGCACACCAGTTGGCACACCCTCAATTTCCCTAACTCCACTTTCCTGTCCGCCCAGTGAATGGAGAATCCATCGAGTTGGATAGCCGTGGGGGGTGTCTTGTCCGAGAACCATGTTTCTGTAAAGAATATTGCAGTTCCAAGATTCCCGTTGGTAGCAAATCCGCGATCGGAGGTCATCCATCTTATTATCAAGTGATTTAGCCAGTAGAATCACCTTAATCTCACCAGGATCCCTGCCCTCTTGCCTCTGTAACGCCGGCGTTTCGTCTTGGGTAGGCCGAAAATTGGGTTGGAATTACAGCGAGAGCCCAGTGCAGATGAGTCGAAGTAGAAGCTGGAATTGGTGTAAATAACTGCCGATTTGATGTTCTTGTCGGTTGTAAGAAATAATAGCTGATACATTTCGTGAAAATAAAGTAAAAATAAAAATAATAATCACAAAATAGCAAAGTTGGGTCAGAGCTTGCAAAACGGCAGCCATCCAGTACGGTGCCATCTTCAATGGCATTGTAGAGTCGGTTTAGATGCCAAACAACACTTTTGTTGATATCATTCACTCTCATTTTAATCCAACAACAGGGGTGCCTGGGTTGCTACTTGCTAGGCACTCACATAAGTGTTCAATATAAAAATATATTGCCCACAATCTTTGTGCACCCCCAAGGGTCCATGCGTAACTCAAACCCAGCTCACACGCTGTGCCAAAAGGTGAACCAAACTTCACTTACGGATGTGTGTGTGTGTGTGTGTGTGTGTGTGTGTGTGTGTGTTTCAGATCCATGATGAATGGTCCAAAGGTGTTTTTGAGGTCAAGCCTGGAGATGAGGACATCCACACAGCCAATGAGCGCAGACTAAAGGTGAAGTGTGGGTGGGGAAAACCTTGAATCAGCAATTCAGAGTGCTGGCTGAAGATCGTAACAATGGGACAAATACGGACCCTTGATTGTCAGAATGACCATGCATACAGTGCATTCGGGAAGTATTCAGACCCCTTGACTTTTTCTACATTTTATTACATTACAGCCTTATTCTAAAATGGATGAAATCATTTTTCCACCTCATCAATCTGCACACAATACCCCATAATGACAAAGCAAAAACAGGTTATTAGGAATGTTTGCAAATTTGTTAAAAATAAAAATCACATTTACATAAGTATTCAGACCCTTAACTCAGTACTTTGTTGAAGCACCTTTGGCAGCGATTACAGCCTCAAGTCTTCTTGGGTATGACGCTACAAGCTTGGCACACCTTTATTTGGGGAGTTTCTCTCTGTCAGGTTGGATGGGGAGCATCGCTGCACAGCTATTTTCAGGTCTCCAGAGATATTCGATCGGGTTCAAGTCCGGCCTCTGGCTGGGCCACTCAAGGACATTCAGAGACTTGTACCGAAGCCACTCCTGTGTTGTCTTGGCTGTGTGCTTATGGTCATTGTCCTGTTGGAAGGTGAACCTTTGCCCCAGTCTAAGGTCCTGAGCGCTCTGGAGCAGGTTTTCATCAAGGATCTCTCTGTACTTTGCTCCGTTCATCTTTCCCTCAATCCTGACTAGTCTCCCAGTCCCTGCCGATGAAAGATATCCCCACAGCATGGTGCTGCCACCACCATGCTTCAACATAGGGATGGTGCCTGGTTTCCTCCAGACGTGATGCTTGGCATTCAGGCCAAAGAGTTCAATCTTGGTTTCATCAGACCAGAGAATCTTGTTTGAGAGTCCTTTAGGTGCCTTTTGGCAAACTCCAAGCTGGCTGTCATTTGCCTTTTACTGAGGAGTGGCTTCCGTCTGGCCACTCTACCATAAAGGCCTGATTGGTGGAGTGCTTTAGAGATGGTTGTCCTTCTGGAAGGTTCTCCCATCTCCACAGTGGAACTCTGGAGCTCTGTCAGTGATCATCGGGTTCTTGGTCACCTCCCTGACCAAGGCCCTTCTCCCCCGATTGGTCAGTTTGGCCGGGCGGCCACCTTTAGGAAGAGTCTTGGTGGTTCCCAAACTTCTTCCATTTAAGAATGATGGAGGCCGCTGTGTTCATGGGGACCTTCAATGCTGCAGACATTTTTTGGTACCCTTCCCCAGATCTGTGCCTTCGACACAATCCTGTCTCGGAGCTCTACAGACAATTCCTTTGACCTCTTGGCTTGGTTTTTGCTGTGACATGCACTGTCAACTGTGGGACCTTATATAGACAGGTGTGTGCCTTTCCAAATCATGTCCAATCAATTGAATTTACCACAGGTGTACTCCAATCAAAGTTGTAGAAACATCTCAAGGATGATCAATGGAAACAGGATGCACCTGAGCTCAATTTTGAGTATCATAGCAAAGGGTCTAAATACTTATGTAAATAAGGTATTTCTGTCTTTTATATTTAATACATTTGCAAACATTTCTAAAAAGCTGTTTTCGCTCTGTCATTATGGGGTATTGTGTGTAGATTGATGAGTGGGAGAAAAATATTTTATACATTTTAGAATAAGGCTGTAACGTAACAAAATGTGGAAAAAGGGAAGGGGGTCTGAATACTTTCTGAATGCACTGTATATATTTGTATTATATATGTATCTCTGTGTTTGTGTTTTATCAGGAGCTGATAGGTGAACCAGCTGGGAAGTTACACACTGGTAGGAGCAGAAACGACCAGGTAGGTGTGATGATCTGCTGAATACACGTTCTTTGTTTGTTTTTTGAAAGAGAAGTTTGAGATTGTTCAATCTCGCTGATGTAATGCTGAGTAAAGCCATTCTTGTGTTTCTTTTGGTTGAGCATTGGGTTTCTGATATGGTTCTGTGTTTTATTGGTTGATCAGGTGGTAACAGACATGAGGTTGTGGCTGAGGGATGCTATCTCCATTGTTAAGGGAAACGCTCTCCAACTCATCACAACCATGGTGGAGAGAGCAGCAGTGTAAGTTTTATGTACAGGTAACTGACAAAATAAAGGAAACACTTCAGTAAATGAGGGATAGTATATTGAAAGCTGGTGCTTAATTCACAGGTGTGGATTTAACATCCCATCATGCTTAGTGAAAAAGCTGGAGCTCGTCTGAGCGGTTGGCTTCTGAGCCCTCACCCGCTATGTACTTAATGCTGATTTATTGAGATTCTGACTTGCTAGAGGCTTCCTGTGCAAGAACAGTACGGATGCTTCTTAGTCCAGGACTTTTATTTATCTTCATCACTAACACACATTCTTAAGTTATTTAGGAATCAACTTGTGGTTTTTCTTAGATGCATGCACAATCTTCCTAGTAGACACAGTCAACTTAGTCGCCATACAAAATGTGACTCTTCTTCTTTCGATGACTAAAAACGCTCAGACCTGGGGTGGGAGGGGTCAGAGTCCAGATGTGAATTTGGGCAAGCTGATTGACTGAAGCCGAAGGGCTGTGATGGACAGCTGAGATGGTGAGATCTCACCCTAACGGGACTGTGGGGGAACTAAGGGGACTGTGAGGGAAAGTTAGGTAGAGAGGAGGGGAGTAGGTCAGTCTTTTTTTACAGCTGCCCCAATATTTCTTATGAAAATATTAACATCCACAAAAAGGCCTCTAACCTAAAGGGCACAGTCTCTAATGGGGTCCACAGGTCTCAAGGGGGAGCTTAGTCCTAGCGGGCCTTGTCCTGTCAGCCAGGACAGGCAGGGCTTAGGGGCCGCCACTTGGGAGGTGCACAGAGGTGCGGAGACAGTCCTTGGCCACCCAATGGAGGCCACAGGGGTGGCTGAGGGTCCTCTAGCTCAGCTGGTGCCGTGTGGCTGGGGACAATCCTTGGGATCTTGGTATGGTGCCGGAGGCTGACCACAGTTGAAGGAAGTATGTGGCACGCCGGCCACAACTGTCTTTGGCAGCTCACTGGCTGCTGCTCGGGTTGGTGAATCTCTCACCACTGCTGGAGGCGATTGCTCCCATGGTGGAGCAGGTGGGGACCCCTGGGCGAGGCTCTTCAGGGATTCGACGTAAGGGGCCAGCTGGGCCTCAGAGACGATGTCCGGCGGTTTCCTGAGGGCCGGAGGGTCTTTCAGTGCAGGAGGCAGGTGGCCTCCCAGAACTGGAGACAGCAGGCCCCCCGGGTCAGGGAACGGTGGGTCCCCCAGGTCAGGGGGCTGAGGGCCTAGCAGGGCAGGGAACTCGGGGCCTGACAGGGCAGGAGACTTAAGCTTACTACTAAGGCTAGAGACTGAGAACCAAGCTGAGCAGAGTCTGCGAACTGGCTAGGGGCAGGGACTGCAGACCTAGAGGAACAGCTAATTCCGAGCCTGGTGGGACAGGAGACCCATGGTCTGGAATTAGTGCAGGAGGGTTGGTGTGTAGCACTAGGGAGGGTGACTGCTTGCTGACTGAGGCTGGGGGCTGCAGACCAACTGAGGTTGCGGACCTAGTAGGGCACAGAACCTAAAGCCTGGCAGAGCGGGCTGACTAGGGCTGGAGACAGCGAAACGAGAGGTGCTGATAACTGGGCCTGACAGGGAGAATGACTCTGAACCTGAGAGGGAGAACGACTCTCAACCTTACAGGGAGAATGAGTCTGAACCTGAAAGACAGAATGACTGTGATCTGAGCAGGGCAGGAGACTGCAGACCTACAGACAGGGCACCTAACTTAGACCCTGGCAGGGCAGGGGGCTCTAAGCCTTGCAGGCTAGGACGCTGCATACCCAATAAGGTAGGGGGCTGCAATCCAAGCAGGGCAGAAGACTGCAGACGTGGCAGCTAACTTAGGACCTAGCAGGGCAGGGGGCTCTATGCCTGGTGGTCTAGGATGTTGCGTACCCAATAAGGCAGGGGGCCGCGAAGCAAACATGGGGCCTAAATGGGTAGAATACCTAGGGCCTGGCAGAGCAGCTAATTTAGAGGCTTCTAGTGCAAGGGACTGTGAAAATAGAACAGCAGAGGACTGGGGCCCTTGTACTAAGGCAGCAGTCCACGGACCTAAGCCAGAACACTGTGAGCCTGCAACTAGAGCCTGCGACTGAGGGCCGGGTACGGCAGGATAGACTGGACCTACCAGGGAGTAAGGAAACGTCAACCCTACAGGGGAGGCAGGGAACTCTAAACCTGACCCTACTAGGAAGGAGGGGAACTCTGGCCATACTGGGAAGGAAGGGATCTCGGACCCTACCAGGAAGAAAGGTAACTCTGACCCTACCGTGGTGGCAGGGAACTGGTCATCTAGGAGGTATCGGTGCGCTAGCAAGCGGGGCCAGCAGGGACACCAGGCCTGGGACCGGCAGGTCCGACCAGGCATGGGCTGACAGGGCCGTGCCAGCAGGCTGTACTTCGAAGGCAGGAAGGGTCTGATCCAACCAGGCCGTGGCTGGAGAGGCCCCCATGTCCAGGCTGCACTTGACATCTGCAGGAGCTGCAGGCTTTGGCTTCATCCTAGGAGCGTGTGAATAATCCACTGCTGGCTTGGGCTCTGGGCCAGGAGCAGGGAGGGCTCCCGAGGGAGAGCGGCTGGAGTCTTTGTGGCTGAAGGTTCCAGGGTAGCAGACAGTCGAACCTCGGGCACCCGAGCAACGGCAGCCAGAACAGGCCCTGTGGCAGCAGTTGTGGCTCCACGACTGGAGCGGGAGTCTCCTTAACTATGGCTAGTCGAGGCTCAGGCTGAGGGGGGTGCAGACCTTGGTGTGGTGGACTGTGCACTCTGGAGTTGTGTCGATCTACTGGGGAGCTAGGCATCTCTGGGGAGCAGAAGGGGACTCGGGGCTCCAGTGGCTCAAGCCGGGGGAGGCCTAGATGGACGTCGGTCAGGAAAGCAGCTGGGCCACCTCGGGATATAGTGGAAGTCCCAACGGTCCCATGGAGGTGGTGAACGCTTAGGCCTGGAGGGCTTGGAGTAGTGTCTCTCAGGGGAGTAGCCGGGCCAAGTCGGGGAGTATCGGTGGTGGTGGCGCTCCCGGGGAGGTGACGATGGCTCTGGCCCGGAGGGTCTAGAGTGGTGGTGGTCAGGAGAGTAGCGGCAATATCGGTGCTCCCGCAGTGGTGGCTCAGGCCGGGAAGGGCAAGAGTACGCCCTCTTGAACTCTTCCCTCTCATAAAGCAGCTTCTCGTAGTCCCTCTGCAGCTCCCAACTGGAGAGGGTGTGGTCACTCCAGGACTACTGAGGATGCCTGGAATATGGGTGGTCGACTGTACGATGAGAGAGGGGTGTAAAGCCTCGCAGCTCATCTTCCTCTGGGAAGCGACAGCTTTGTGTGTGTGGTGTTGGTGGTGACAGCAGCCCCATTCGGCATAGGAATGCAAAATAACTCATCTGCATCCAGGAGTTCGGAAACAGTTATTCATTTGGGTACTAGAACATCTTCACTGTAGCCAGGTCAGAATCCGGTGATTCGAAGGACCATGAAAAACTGTTGGTCGCTAAATCCATCTCGGAGGACCATGAAAAAAAGGATAGGGTGTAAACCTGTCCCTCTGAGGACTAAACTAGTTTGCTGGGTTGGATACTGAATCCCCACAAGGCTGCCGGCTAGAGCAATATGGATGCTGTCTTGACTGACTTGTCACACACTTCACTGTCAACCAACGCACTATTAACACTTAGGGTCATGTATAAAAATGCTAGGCAAGCCCAGTTGCCCATTATTTTGGCTACCATGGCTAGAAGAAGAGATGTTAGTTATTTTGAAAGAGGGGTGATTGTTTGGCAGGAGCTTCAGTGACGAAAACTGCTCAAGCTGATGTTTCACGAAATGCCATGGTCGTTTCAGTCACCAGATCTCAACCCAATTGAACACTTATTGGAGATTATGGAGCGGCGCCTGAGACAGCGTTTTCCACCACCATCAACAAAACACCAAATCATGGAATTTCTCGTCGAAGAATGGTGTCACATCCATCAAATAGAGTTCCAGACACTTGTACAATCTATGCCAAGGCTCATTGAAGCTGTTCTGCCGGTTCGTGGTGGCCCAACGCCCTATTAAGACATTATTTTGGCAGTTACCTGTATGTATGCATGCACGCACACACACAGTATATCATGTTTACCTATTGTCTTTTGATCCCCAGAGAGATTGACGTGCTGTTTCCTGGGTACACCCACATGCAGAGAGCTCAGCCAATCAGATGGAGCCACTGGATTCTGAGGTACAATAGCCTCTCCTTCTGTTCAGCACCACTGCATATGTTTGCAATGTTCCTAAATGATGTCTAGATCCACTGCTTGACACTGAGTCAAAGTTAAAAACAGGATTGAGGCAACAAATATTGATGGAATATAAAGTGAATGTTGTTTCAGTCTACAGAGCATATGTAACCCGTTTCAGGAAGCTAGGCGTTAGTCGCACGTCACTACTTCACAGGAAAGGCATTTGAACGTACATTTACAAAAAAAATCAAAATGAGTTTTTGTGGCAGAAATGCCTTCTGGAACATGTGAACTTTCATGTGCCTTAATAACAAACTTGTATACCATCTGTAAATTCAAATAAAATTGTTAAATGGTGATCCTAGTTGGTTTAGCCATGTAAAAAGACAGGAACCTTCCCACTAGCCATGATTGGGTGAGATAATGGATGGGCTGGACATGCCGTGAGATGAGTTCGGATTGGTCTGCTATGTAGCATGCTTCTGTCTAGAACATGGGCTGTATGTGTACATCATTCTTGTTAGCCCAGGAGAACTGTAAGTGTTGCTACTGCTCTCAACAACATTGCTGCCCTGAATTTAGCAGGCGCTATCGACATAGATCAGTGGGAAAAAGTTGTGATGGACTACTTTCTGCACACCGTGAGTGTGAACCGGAGTGACTTGACATATCGCGGGCCAAACAAGCTGTACAAACAAAACGGAAATGACACAGGACGTCTTACTTAGTTAAACAGGTTTCAGTCTGCCGTGAAGCGTTCTTCCATGTATACGAGTAAGAGTCTAGCTACATTTTCAGATATTATAAGTTTCTAATTTTGTCAGAAAGTCGTTTTCATTGCAAGTTAAAGCGTACTGTTAGCTAGCTAGCGAACGTTAGCTTGCTGGCTCGCTAGCTAATGTTACGTGTATGATCTGTGTAGTAATATTATTTGTATCTCAGAAATCCATTTGCATTGCTAGTTATAGCCTAATGTAAGCTAGCTATCTAACATTGAACCTAGTTGATTAGCTTTAGCTACCTGCAGATTCATACTACCGCATTTCATGCATGGTGTCTTGCTATGACAATCCCTTTGTATTGCTAGTAGTATGGGTTGGGATTATGGTTAATTGTTTAGCTAGCTAGCTAAACATGTCTAAACAAAAGCGTCCACTTCGCCAGATGATTACATGACCCATCAAGTAAACCAAGTGTGTCTGGTGGTGATTATGGCCATCTATTGTATTTCATGAACATGTGTACATGTCTAGACAATAGTGACCCATCCACTTAGCTGGGGTGTGGTTATAGCATTTCTTTCACATGACCCATCAATTTAGTCTTGTGGTAGAAATTCTATAGGAAGAGAGACTGCAGATTCTTTCAAACAACAACTTTATTATAAGATTTGCAAAAATGAAGCAATCAACAATCACTCAAAATGGTTGTGTTGAAAAGCCCAACGAACATAGTTGGCTTTCTCCTTTTATAGAAATTACACCCTCTTATCTACACTACCAGTCAACATTTTGGACACACCTACTCATTCAAGGGTTTTTCTTTATTTTTTACTATTTTTACATTGTAGAATAATAGTGAAGACATCAAAACTATGAAATAACACATATGGAATCATGGAGTAACCAAAAAAGTGTTAAACAAATCAAAATATATTTTATATTTGAGATTCTTCAAATAGCCACCCTTTGTCTTGATGACAGCTTTGCACACTCTTGGCATTCTCTCAACCAGCTTCATGAGGTAGTCACCTGGAATGCATTTCAATTAATAGGTGTGCCTTCTTAAAAGTTAATTTGTGGAATTTCCTTCCTTCTTAATGCGTTTGAGGCAATCAGTTGTGTTGTGACAAGGTAAGGGGGGGTATACAGAAGATAGCCCTATTTGGTAAAAGACCAAGTCCATATTATGGCAAGAATAGCTCAAATAAGCAAAGAGAAACGACAGTCCATCATTACTTTAAGACATGAAGGTCAGTCAATGTGGAAAATTTCAACAACTTTGAACGTTTCTTCAAGTGCAGTCGCAAAAACTATCAAGCGCTATGATGAAACTGGCTCTCATGAGGACCGCCACAGGAATGGAAGACCCAGAGTTACATCTGCTGCAGAGGATAAGTTCATTAGAGTTACCAGCCTCAGAAATTGCAGCCCAAATAAATGCTTCACAGAGTTCAAGTCACAGACACATCTCAACATCAACTGCTCAGAGGGGACTGTGTGAATCAGGCCTTCATGGTTGAATTGCTGCAAAGAAACCACTACTAAAGGACACCAATAATAAGAAGAGACCTGCTTGGGCCAAGAAACACGAGCAATGGACATTAGACCGGTGGAAATGTGTCCTTTGGTCTGGAGTCCAAATTGGAGATTTTTGGTTCCAACCGCCGTGACTTTGTGAGACGCGGTGTGGGTGAACGGATGAAATCCGCATGTGTGGTTCCCACCGTAAAGCATGGAGGAGGAGGTGTTATGATGTGGGGTTGCTTTGCTGGTGACACTGTCTGTGATTTATTTAGAATTCAAGGCACACTTAACCAGCATGGCTATCACAGCATTCTGCAGCGATGGAGTGCTGCATCAGATGACCTGACCTCCACAATCCCCCGACCTCAACCCAATTGAGATGGTTTGGGATGAGTCGGACGGCAGAGTGAAGGAAAAGCAGCCAACAAGTGCTCAGCATATGTGGGAACTCCTTCAAGACTGTTGGAAAAGCATTCCAGGTGAAGCTGGTTGAGAGAATGCCAAGAGTGTGCAAAGCTGTCATAAAGGCAAAGGGTGGATATTTGAAGTAAAATATATTTAGATTTGTTTAACACTTTTTTGGTTACTTCCATATGTGTTATTTCATAGTTTTGATGTCTTCACTATTATTCTACAATGTAGAAAATAGTAAAAATAAAGAAAAACCCTTGAATGAGTAGGTGTGTCCAAACTTTTGACTGGTACTGAATGTGACTGTTAGCAGATGTGCAGAAACAACAGAGTTGTTCTGCACAGACTTGTAAAAACAAATTTAGCTCGTCTGTGTTTGATCAAGATAGCTGATATCGCCACCATTCTCTGTTCCTTCCTGCACTTCCCACATAGTTCAATTCCTGCCGAGCGGCTCATTAATCTGTACGCTCAGATTTATGACTAAGTCACACAAGACAAGTTTGCATCAGTAGTAAAAAACAGCATATCACAATGAACAATTATTTAAGTAAAAAAACAGCATAGTATGTCTAGTTAAACAGCATAGTATGTCATTAATTAATTTCCTTCACAGTCTGAGGTAAGCATCATCTTATAGTTATAAAATATTTTTATCTGGACACTTTCAATTTTTTATATTGTTACTTGCAAATATGCAAGTAACCATTTCACTGTACCTTTTACACCTTCTGTATCTTGTGCATGTGACAAATAAACTTTGATTTTATTTTATATAGTGTTTGTTTACCAGAGGCGGTAATGTGAAGAACAACTTGACCTGCACCAAAGTCAGATTATGATATAAGCCAAGGACTAGATCAAATGTATTTTTACCTGGAGTTTTTCCTAATTGTAGGTTACTACTTTCGCCACTTTTAATCTTGAAATCTTTGGTTGTTCACTACCTTACTCACTCTGCACATGGCCTCACATATGAATTGTTAAAGATATAGGTGGGGCTAAGGCTTAAGAGGGTGTGAACGATGCTGAATGGGTGTAGACAAAGAAAAGCTCTCCAGTACGTACCAAAACATTCAAGGGCCATTTTCTCAAAAGTGGAGTTACAAGTTTATCAACTTTCAAAGCAGAATTACTTTCCCATTGTTCCTCAGCTGCAGTGTATGATATACCATGTTCTAGCTCTGAGTCTACTTATATCCAATGTAAAAAAACACCATTTAAAATTTAGCAACAAAAGACAGAATCGAGGTGGTCGGTGATGTTGTCAGTCTATTAAACACATTTGTATTTCTATGATTGTTCCCCAGTCACACGGTGGCCCTGAGCAGAGATGTGGAACAGCTTCAGGAGATCAATAGACGAGTCAACGTGCTCCCCCTGGGCAGGTACACACACACGCACAAGCGCGCGCACACACACACACTGTTATCTGTCATCTGTGAGTTATAGTTATACCGTGTCTACTTTTGTTACCCAGTGGAGCAATAGCTGGAACTCCATTCAACATCGACAGGGAAATGCTGCGTCAAGGTGAGAGTCAACCTGCATTGAAAATCAGCTCCTATAAACATACATAAGGAGCCATGAACTCTAATGAATGCTTATAACAAATGCTTATAAGGCACAATATACATGAATCATACACATGTTCCAAGACAGTGTTTGAGATTGATTGTGTCTTCTGTCTCTTCCCCTGTAGAGCTGGCCTTTGATGACATCAGCATCAACAGCATGGACGCCACAGGCCAGAGGGACTTTGTTGGTATGGTAACCCCACTGGCTTTATTACTATTCTGAGAAGACATGTAGATGTGAAGATGAGAAATATTGGCATTAACTGACTGTCACTGCATTGCCCTGCTCATGCTTTCTCTCTCTGTGTGTGTGTCTGGCTCTCTCCACCCTCCCTCTTTCAGCTGAGTTCTTGTTCTGGGCGTCTCTGTGTCTGACGCACCTCAGTAAGATGGCAGAGGACCTGATGCTCTACAGCACCAAGGAGTTCTCCTTCCTCACACTCTCCGACGCATACAGGTGTGTGTGTGTGTGTGTGTGTGTGAGAGAGAGTTTGTGTGTATGATGACTATGAACTCAAAACAATGTGTTCCCTTTTTTTCCTTTGTGTTATATTCTAACGATCTTTCTCTCTCTGTGTGTGTGTGTGTAGCACAGGCAGCAGTCTGATGCCTCAGAAGAAGAATGCTGACAGTCTGGAGTTGATCAGGAGTAAAGCAGGCCGTGTCTTTGGCAGAGTAAGACCCCAACTGAAACACATAACACCATTAGTTATATTATAATAAGCAAGCATCCTTTATGATATTAATGGTATGATATCAGTGTGTGTAAACCTGTGCCCTGTCCTGTGTGTGTCACAGTGTGCAGGCTTTCTGATGACCCTGAAGGGCCTGCCAAGCACCTACAACAAAGATCTGCAGGTACAGCCACACGTGTGTGTGTGTGTGTGTGTGTGTGTGTGTGTGTGTGTGTGTGTAATAATTCTCTCTATCGCTCTCTGACTCTCTAGGAGGATAAGGAGGCCATGTTTGACTGCTATGACACGGTACACGCTGTGCTGCAGGTCACCACAGGTGTCATGTCCACTCTAAAGGTGAGATGGATGCCACACCTGACCCCATACACCCTACACCCTAGTGCCCAACACTGAGCACCTTTACACCCTTGTGCCCTACTTACTACATCCTAAACTCTTACACCTTAGTGCCCTACAACCTGCAACATCCTTCCCTCTAAGTCCTTTCACGGCCAATTCCTCTGACCCATTTCCTGTTTCCTGTGTCAGATCAACCCCAGTGTGATGGAAGCTGCCCTCAGTCCTGACATGCTGGCTACTGACCTGGCCTACTACCTCGTCAGGAAGGGGGTGAGTACTAATTAACCACTCAAACCAGGGATATGTGCGTTTGTGTGTGTTCACCACAATTATGGTAAGGTTTAAAGTTAATTAAACTGTTTATTTAGCCAGCAAACTTTAGCAGAGTTTCTGTGTCACAATTGTGGTATTTTATATTATCTCTCTCTCCTTCTCTCTCTCTCTCTCCTTTCTCTCCTCTCTTTCTCTCTCTCTCTCTCGTCTCTCTCTCTCTCTTTCTTTCTCTTCTCTTCTCTCTGTCTTCTCTCTCTCTCTCTCTCTTTCTTCTCCTTTGTCTCTCTCTCTCTCCTTGCTCTTCTCTCTTCTCGTCTCTCTCTCTATCTCCTCTTCTCTCTCTCTCTTCTCTCTCTTCTCTCGTCTCTCTCTATTCGTCTGTCTGTCTGTCTGTCTGTCTCTCTCTCTTCTCGTCTTGTCTCTCTCTCTCTCTGTCTTCTTCTCTTTCTGTCTGTCTCTGTCTGTCTTCTCTGTCTGTCTGCTTCTCTGTCTCGTCTGTCTCGCTCTGTCTCTGTCTGGTCTCTGTGTCTCTGTCTCTGTCTGTCTGTCTGTCCTGTCTGTCTGCTGTCTGTCTGTCTGTCTGTCTGTCGTCTGTCTGTCTGTCTGTCTGTCTGTCTGTCTGTCTGTCTGTCTGTCTGTCTCTCTCTCTCTCTCTCTCTCTGTCTGTCTGTCTGTCTGTCTCTCTCTGTCTCTCTCTCTCTCTCTCTCTCTCTCTCTCTCTCTCTCTCTCTCTCTCTGTGTGTGTGTCACAATTGTGGTATTTTATATTCTCTCTCGCGCTCTCTCTCATGTCAGGTGCCATTCAGAGAGGCTCATGGTATCTCAGGTAAAGCTGTGTTTCTGGCTGAATCCAAGAACATTCCCCTGAACCAACTCACTGTGGAGGACCTGCAGACTGCCAGGTGAGCGCAAGCACGCATGCACACACTTCTTCGTATTATCACTCTTTTGTCCCCCCCACCTCCTTATCCTTTCCACTTCACCCTCCCCTTGCTCCAGCCCCCTGTTTTCCAGTGATGTGTCTGCGGTGTGGGACTACAGTAGCAGTGTGGAGCAGTACAGCGCCCCTGGTGGCACAGCCAAGAGTAGTGTGGCAGCACAGGTGGAGCACATGAGGACCTGGCTGAAGAAACAGGTCCAGTGACCTCTCCTCCTCACCGCTTACCTTTAACCATTGACCCCAACAACAACTTATATAAGCAACAGTGGTCAAATGGAACTCTGGGGTGTATCCTAACTTCCAATTTTCACATAGTCTCCCAATGATATCACATCTATGCATGTATGACTAAGTTAAAATTTGACTAAAGTAGAAGTTAGGATTTGCCCCCCAGTGGTAAAGAACCATTGTTTGCCTTCTAGAACACTCTCCAGTGTTCTCTACATTCAGTGTCTACTCTAGAAAACAATGGGTCCATTCTGTAGGACTGCCTTGTTGCTCAGGCCATGTAAAGTGCCTTTAAAATACCGGTAGACAATGTAGTTGTTGATGCCATGGTTACTGCTTTAGATCTATTTAGAAAAATGGGAGGTAAAAGCTTTAGTACATTTAGATATATTATCCTCAATAGTAGTACAACTATACATTTCAGACAGTTCATACCTTTTTGTCTTAATGTGTTGATGATTGATTAAATGTTGCTTATTTACAAAATGTTGTCACTAGCTGTTGTTCATGGAAGATACATATAGCGTGTGGACATGAAGAGGGCTAACCTTCCACTGTCGTCATTCAGTCAGTCGTTATTGCAAAAAAGTCGACCTGGCTCGAATGCTGCCATATCATGTCTGCTCTAGTTTAGAGTATTGCCCAGAAGATAAACATATTTCCCAGAAGATAAACATATTGCGTACACCCTGTCCAATCCTTTCAGATAATTGAGAAGTGTCTAGAGGTTAATTTGGAATTGGGCCTATCTTTGTCTGCGAGCTTCCTCAGTGCAGCAGCAGTGGTGGAAAAAGTACCCAATTGTCATACTTGAGTAAAAGTAAAGATACCTTCATAGAAAATGACTCAAGTAAAAGTGAAAGTCACCCAGTAAAATACTACTTGAGTAAAAATATTTGGTTTTAAATATACTTAAGTATCAAAAGTACATTTAATTGATAAATTATACTTAAGTATCAAAAGTAAAAGTATAAATCATTTCAAATTCCTTATATTAAGCAAACCAGACGACAACATTTTATTTTATTTTTTATTTATTTACGGCTAGCCAGGGGCACACTCCAACATCTTTACAAACTAAGCATTTTTACTTAAGTACTTTACGCCAGTGCCCTCCCCAGTACAGACTGAAGAACATACAGCCACACAGTGATGAGACCAGGCTGGACAGGGCTGGTTGCCGACCGGTACACAGTTCTGCCGTTCAGAGGCTGGACGGGCCGGAAGATCCCTGTCATGGGCTGACCCGTCCAGAACTGAGCCTGCTGAGCTACTGACACCAGCTAGAGAGGAGATGAGAAGGGAAGGAATCATGGTGGGAGGAGAGAAAGGGTCAGGATTTCTGCTGACCTCATGTAGTCAGCATCTCTGAAAGACCCCACTCTGACCCTGAGCCTAACCCCAGTGACCTCTAACCCCAGTCACTTTTACCCCCTACCTGTCTGTTGCTGACAGGGATGGTCCTGTGGAACAGCGTCCAAACAACCGCTTGCTCACAGCCTGGTGTCGTCATGGAGCCCACGTATCGATAGTAGTCATGCAGATCATGTGAGGGGGGAATGATGTCACAGAGTCGGAACCCTGGGACTGTGCTTTGATTCCCTGTAGAGGGAAGGGTGAGGGGAGAGGAGAGAGGAGAGGGGAGAATACACTGTATGGCTCTAATACCCTTTTCACACTTCTAAGCCTAGCCCAGCTGAACTAAACTGTACTGGTAGTACCATAGTTGCTGGAACCTTGCTGGTTCAGATTGGTAGGATAGTGTGAAAATGGTATGTCGAGTTACTCTTACCGTTATTCTGAACTCTTCCCAGGGCTTCTATAAGAGAGTTGTAGTGATGGTGATCATCATTGGACTCCTTGGAACAACACAACACTGATATTAGAGAAATGTGTTGAATTTGCCACTGGATTTGAATTGGAATTTGTATGAGTTAAGTGGCTGATCAGTACCTCGAACAGGAAGGCGAGCAGCGCTATACCAGATTTGTCATGCTCAGCCTCCTCTAGACTACTGTATGGCTCCTTGATGTGAACAATGTGCAACTAGAGAGAGAGAGGGAAAGATAGAGAAGAGAATCGACAGGGAGACAGAATAGATGTTGTAATAGTACCACATGGTTATTCCCCGCCTCAGGGTTTACCTCCATGGGATAGTGTTCTCCGTCAACAGTGTGTTCGGACCCAGGCCCAGCGTCCACACCCCAGTGCAGGTGGAACTGAATGGCCCGGTACCGACCTGCCAGACCCCCTCCACTGACCTGCACCGACGAAGGCAGGGAGAAGTGGGCTGGAGGAGGACAGAGAGAGCCAGTCTAGTGTCAGATTTCTGTATTCCGTGCCGTCGTCATTTCTGTGAATGATATTTAGCAGGAAGAGCTGATCCAGGGTCACTGGAGGAGCACAATACTCTAACCTCTTAGTTTTACAACTATTGGCAATAACATTTTTAATGACAGACATTAATTATAAACTAGGTTACATTCTTGGAGTATTTTCTAGGGTGTTCTGGCAGTGAGGATATAATGTTTGGAGACCATTCCAGGATACTGTAAAAAGGTCTAGAGTTCAAGAACATTCAATACTGGGATCAGAGGTCATGATGGTATAAAGAACATTCTAGATTTAGAAGAGAGGTTCTGAGAGTTCTAACCAGAATGCCCCATGTTCTCAACAGTGATGTTGAGAATGTTGTGATGACCGTAGAAGGTCAAAGGTGACAGGGAGTGGTTGGCCTGGACATGGTTTGTCACAATGTTTATGGGAGACTGACGCAGACCGCCACAGTCAGGGAACAGGCCTGGCCACCGACTAGGGTCTGAAACAATACAACACAACTCAGTTTAGTTTCCTTTTGTATATAGTGGGTATTGGTTCAGCAACAGAAAGTATTCAGTGTGGTGTGAGATGGTGAGGGTATATCGTAAGGTGATGATGGTGACGATACAATATGGTGATATACCCTCACCGGCCAGTTTATTCGGTTTATCTAGTACCAGGTCGGACTTCCTTTGCCTCCAGAACAGCCTGAATTATTCGGGGCATGGATTCTACAAGGTGTCGTAAACGTTCGTTCCTTAATTGGTATCAAGGGACGTGTGCCAGGAAAACATTCCCTACACCACCGCCACCAGCCTGTACTGTTGACACCAGGCAGGATGGGTCCATGGAATCATGCTGCTTACGCCAAATCCTGACTGTCATCAGCATGACACAACAGGAACCTGGATTGGTCGGACCAGGCAATGTTTTCCCACTCCTCAATTGTCCAGTGTTGGTGATCGCGTGCCCACTGGAGCCGCTTCTTCTTGTTTTTATCTGATAGGAGTGGAACCTGGTGTGGTCATCTGCTGCTATAGCCCATCCGTGACAAGGACCGACGAGTTCTGCATTCCGAGAAGCCGCTCTGCACACCACTGTTGTACTGCGCCGTTATTTGACTGTTTGTGGCACGACTGTTAGCTTGCACGATTCTTGCCATTCTCTTTCGACCTCTCATCAACAAACTGTTTTTCGCCCACAAGACTGCCACTTACTGTAGGTTTTTTGTCATGTCGCACCATTCTCGGTAAACCCTAGACACTGTCGCACATGAAAAGCCCAGGAGGACAGCCGTTTCTGAGATACTGGATCCGGCGCGCCTGTCACTCGTTTTGCCCATTCTAACGTTCAATCGAACAGTAACTGAATGCCTCAATGCCTGTCTGCTTTATATAGCAAGCCACAGCGACGTGACTCACTGTCTGTAGGAGTGATCCATTCTTGAGAACGGGTGGTGTACCTAATAAACTGACCGGTGAGTGTATATCGTATGGTGCTGAATTTAGATCAGTGCTGAGAAAGTGGTAGGTGAGGAGTTTTGAGGTGAACTCCCATGTGGAGAGAAGATAAGATGTGTGTGTGTGTGTGTACGGGTTATTTTACCTCTGCATGTGTTGTCACAGGAGTACTGGCTCTTGTAACACCACTGAGCTGGAAGAGAAGTGCACTCAGTAAAGCTCCAAAGGGCACACATGCGCGCACACACACACTCCCTGTTTTCTCTAGTTATTAACTGAGACTATTATTCATTTATCTGACTTTACCACGCTCTAATACCCACAGAATAGTCAGCAAGCCTACGGCCTGACCTGCACACAGACACACACACACACACACACACACACACACAGAGATCATGATCATAATGAGATGATGGTGAGATCTCATATTACTGAGTCTGACCCTATTTCACCTCCGCACTAATTCAAAATATTTCTCTGCCATTCCGGCAGTATGTATGTATGTCTGGCATGTCAACAAACAATAGAGTTGATGTGGCTGCAGGAGAAAATTAAATTGACCACAGAACTTCTGTAAACTCTATATGATTGAATATTCTGTGAGAAGTGCCTTACAAAGTGTGACTGATAGGATAGGAGCTTCATGATATTATTCAGGGACAATACAACCGGATGTCCGAGATGGATCAGGTTAAAGGCCCGGTGCAGTCAAAAACTGTTTTATATATACTTTCACACTATGAGTAATACTGTGAAAATTATGATAGTGCCCTTTTTAATGTAAGAGCTGTTTGAAAAGACTGCCTGAAATTTAAGCCTGTTTTGGTGGGATGGAGAAATGATTTGATATTGAGATCAAAATGGCTGCATTGGACCTTTAACCAGTGACAAAGTAATGATTGATATTTCAGCATTAATGAGAATCAATGGAGCTCTGCATGAATAGGTGGCAGAAACACAAACTGAGGACACATCAGAGGTTACACAAACACTAGGAATAATCACGGGACCATTAGAAGTTAATAACCGTAATGACCAAGGCTGCGTCCCAAATGGCACTCTATTCCCTAAATAGTGCACTACATTTGACCAGAGCCCTATGGGCCTATAGTGAATAGGGTGCCATTTGGGATGCACACAAAGAGGACAATTAGAGGAAGCAGTGCAGTAATGGCCGAGGGAGTATTGTGGCTTTAATAAAGCTCTCCTGTTAGAAAGAACGGCCAAAACTGTTATTTCCTCCGGTCACACCTGAGACTCTTGGCACCATCATCGATAGATAAGAAAGATAGATAGATAGATAGATAGATAGATGGATGGATGGATGGATGGATGGATGGATGGATGGATGGATAGATGGATGGATGGATAGATAAGTGGACAGGAAAGCAGACAGACAGAGAGGCAGGCAGACAAGCATGCAGGCAGAGAGACAGGCAGGTAGACAGACAGACCGTCAAACAGACCACAGCTTTCCCAGATTATGAGGATCAGAAATATTTATTTAGACAGTATCAGCTACAGTTAGATTTTGTATAGATGTGTGGGATATTGACATACAGTACAATTACCATACAGTAGTAATCAAGGTATCAAACTTCAACACCGTACTGTGTAACTGAAGTCTTTAGTCTTTTTGCTATTCAAGTCCTGATCATTTATAGAAATACACAACCACACCAACCTCAAATGTCTTACCTGAGCAGTGGGTGAGAACAGAGAGCAGAGTGGAGAGGTGAAGAGCGAAATCCATGACTACCACTCTCTCACACTCCCAGGAGCCGTATAGAGACATACACTAATGAAAACACACTCTGACCCTCCACCTGAGAGACGGGGTGATAGATAGAGATGAAGAAAGGGAGAGATAGTGAGGGAGGGAGAGTGAAGAAGTGAGGGGGGGGGGGGGGGGGGCTGATAAAGAGGGAGGTAGAGAGACAGAGAAGGTGGAGAGAAAAACTACTGGCAGGTTTCTTCAAAGTTGTAGTCAAGTAGTTAGAGCAACGGTGACACCTATTGGCCATATTGGTCATTCCACACTAATGGAATGTCCTACTGACATCTGGGGTCTATTTAGAAACCCGAACATCTGATATTCCCAGTGCCCCACCTGTTTTGAGCCCCACCTGTTTAGAAAAATATATATAGAATAATAATAACAATACTTGTCACATATCAGTTTGCAAACAATGTCAAAAAATAAATAAATAATTGAGTTAATAAAGCCGCATACAAACATGGTCTATTTTTTGCTTTCTTGAGTAAGGCACCACCAAAATGCAGGTGTTTCAGCCTAGCTCAGTGCTTTCTTTGGTGGTGGGTCAGCCAGCGGAAAATACAGAGCTTAGGGGTTGGTAATGTCAAATCACATATCTACCATAGCTTTGATTGGACTGATCATGTCAACATCATACTTTCAAAATCTTAGCTAGCAAGCTAGACAAGCAGTCATCATCATGAATCAAGTCGGCAATCTACTGGAAATCCATTTCAAGCCTTGTCATATGAAGAGAAATTATAGATAAAACATATCGGTGCTCATCGGCCATTGGACATAAACATTACACAAGTTGGAAATCGCAAATTCAACAATGTGTGGTTTGGAAGGAATCAGTGGCTAACTGCAAGAGTTAGCAATCACTAGCCTGCTATACGGTGGAGAGGGTATGTGGTCCAAGTCTGAGTTTAAGGGTGTCTTTTCCAAGCTTAAAAGGATAAACATTCACATGCAACACCATGGGCCAGAAAATGTTGAATACATTGGCCATGCTGTCAGTCCAGCATGACTTCTGCCGAGTTCAAAACAACTGGAAACTCGGAACTGGGAAATCTCAGACTTCAGTGAGTTCAAGACAACTGGGATCTCAGGAAAAAAATTAGCTCTGACTGGGAAAATACGTTTGGAACGGTCATCCAACTCGGAATTTGTAGTCGGGAAGTCGGGCCTCTTTCTAGAGCTCCGACCCGAAGATCACTGACATCATGATTCGACCTTCCCAGTTGTCTTGAAAGCACCATAAATCCAGAGAATGCCAGACTTTGATGACAAAGTTTGATGACAACATTTGCCCACAAGAAGGACCACTGCGCCACCTTCCTGTTCAAGTGAGCACAGCACAAGGTGAGTCCAAAAATGTCTTGTATGCTGCTTCATAAATGATGTAATATGCCAGGGAGACATGTATACTGTAGCCAAGAAAGTAATACTAAGTGTATGTTGTGTAGTAAGCTGTTAGTAGCCCATGTGCCTCACCCTAATAATTTGGGCCCTTTCCCCCTCATAACTTAGCATACTGTTCTGACTTGGTGGTGCACATGTAGCCTATAGCCTGTTTTAGGGAAATGTCATCATCGAATATTGTAAGAGCTTTCGTTGTCTGCTTATATGCCCCCTTTAATTTATCCTACGGTTCTGACTTGGTGTACAGGGAGAATACTGTAAGAACTGCCCTAGTTCTGAATTCTGTCGCTATACATTTAAAAAGTGCTGAACAAATAGTTATATTGACTACGTCCGTCTTAGCTCGCTCATTAATGTCTTAATTGAAATTACAGATTGCCTCTTATGCGCTCGTCGTTCCCTTATGCCATAGTTTGTACATCTCAATTGTCAGTAGAAACCACATTTGTTTAAGCAAGTCAGCCAGATCAGCTATGTTTTTTAAAAAGGGAGTAAATTAGTCTGAATGAACTTTTTCACAGCCAGACAAGGCTCCTTTGGCAGCCAGGTGTAGCAGTGGTAAGGATCCACTCCATGGGCTGAAAAGAAAGCTCTGCTGTTGGGACAGCTTTATGTAGGCCCTAACAGTTTGTGGGCACCGTTTGTCACCGTTATAGTGCAATTCATGTATTGTTTAGTGTTGTGTTGTATAGTGGCTTTGCTGGCATGCATCTAAAAAAAATTATGTTGAGTTTGCCCCACCAAGATTTACATGCTAAAATCGCCACTGGATATTCCTCTCATTCCCTATCAATAACACAACCACAATCAATAAGTGAAACACATTAAAACAGATTTATTACAATCTCAATAGATTAATGCCATGGGAATACTCTGATGGCAATACAAAAACATTGAAATGATCCGCTGTTACTCCTTCATTGTTTCTCAGACATAGTAGTTGTCATACTTTGTTACATCCTGAGCTATTGAATACAAGTTCTGCAGGCAAATATTTTAAAAACTCTTGTGAAATGCAAGGTGGAATTCTCGAAAGGTACCTGATTGGTTATCTGGTTTTGTTTCAGGCACATAGTGTGAATGTAACTCACTGACAGGGAATGTTAAAGTTCTACTTCAAATAAAAGACATCTCCATTGCAATCTCTTTCTAACAGTTGAAATGATAACAGAACTTGAGTTGTGCTTCTCTGAGGCTGACTGAAACATACAAGCATGCGTAATAGTAGTACAGTATTAACGCACAATACTTCATGATTATTCATTCATATAAAAGGGATTTATGCAATCCTTAGAAAACCTTGCATATAGGTCAGTTATGCTGCTTCATGGCACAGTGATATAAAAGTTATAACAAGTTATAACTGGTCATAAGAGTTCTGCATTGTTTCTTTTGATACATTATCCAAAAAGTTAATAAGCAGCAAACATTTCAACGTTTTAAGGCTTTAAAACAAAAACAGACAACCTGAGCAGACAGGTTTAACTAAGAAATTAACATAATATTACACTGATTAAAGTGCCATAAATCAGATTAAAAGATCACATTCATAAAATCTGTTGCTGCTAGCTAATGTTAGTTAGCGTTAGCAAGCTAATCCTTCTAAAACGGCTTCATGCAGAATTGCATAATAATTCTAATAAAGGTTATTGGAGCCACTCTCTCACTGTCATGGTGACGGAGGGGTTAAAGGGTGAGCCTGACATTACTATGGTTACGGACGGTTATTATCTAGAAGTAGACAGAAACTTATCCGGGTCAAAGTTCATTTAGCGCTTTTAGGCCCAACTCTGTTCCAGGGTCCAGCGGGTCACCAGAGTAACATCAGGCCTGAAGTACTTGTTTGATCTCACTGAAGATATCTCTGAAGAAACACAGAAACACAAACATCCACCAATCAGTGAAACTCAATCAAAAATTCCCAAATCTAGGCACTCATACTCTAATCTCTTTTTACCTTTCCCTCTTAATCCCTCTATTCCATCATCTCTCTCTCTCTCTCTCTCCCTTTCCCATCCCTCCCTCTTTTCATCCTTCCTCCCTCAGCATCCTATCCATCCCAGCACCCCCCCCCCCCCCCCGTCCCGTCCTTCTAACCTGTAGCACCACAGCAGCCACCACCGCGATGATAGCGAGTAGCGCCATGCGGCCTAACCACCCCAGGTCAGGATTTTTGAGGATGAAGAAGCGTGCCCAGAACAGCTTCTTGGCAGTATGGGGCGGGTAGCGCACGTCGTTAACCCCCTCCATCTTCAGCTGCTTGATAAGACAGCCCCTCAGGTGGCTCAGGTTGTCAAAGCTGAACTTGCCGTGGTAGCTGCCCATACCACTGTTACCTACAGGGGGAAACATGTAGAACAGTCAATCACACATATCCCTTCTCATTTGGCAAATCTGACCATAACTCTATCCTCCTGATTACAGTTTATAAGCAAAAACTAAAGCAGGAAGCACCAGTGACTTGGTTAATAAGGAAGTGGTTAGATGACGCAGATGCTAAACTACAGGACTGTTTTGCTAGCACAGACTGGAATATGTTACGGGATTCTTCCGATAGCATTGAGGAGTACACCACATTAGTCACTGGCTTCATCAATAAGTGCATCGATGACGTCGTCCCCACAGTGACCGTGCGTGCATACCCCAACCAGAAGCCATGGATTACAGGCAACATCCGCACTGAGCTAAACAGTAGAGCTGCCGCTTTCAAGGAGCGGGACTCTAACCCGGACGCTTATAAGAAATCCTGCTATGCCCTCCGACGAACCATCAAACAGGCAAAGAGTCAATACAGGACTAAGATTGAATCGTACTACACCGGCTCTGACGCTCGTCGGATGTGGCAGGGCTTGAAAACTATTACAGACTACAAAGGGAAGCACAGCCGCGAGCTTCCCAGTGACACAAGTCTACCAGATGAGCTAAATCACTTCTATGCTCACTTCGAGGCAAGCAACACTGAAGCATGCATGAGAGCATCAGCTGTTCCGGATGACTATGTGATCACGCTCTCCGTAGCCGATGTGAGTAAGACTTTTAAGCAGGTTAATATTCACAAGGCCGCAGGGCCAGAGGGATTACCAGGACGTGTACTCCGAGCATGCGCTGAAGAACTGGAAAGTGTCTTCACTGACATTTTCAACATGTCCCTGACTGAGTCTGTAATACCAACATGTTTCAAGCAGATCACCATAGTCCCTGTGCCCAAGAACACTAAGGTAACCTGCCTAAATGACTACCGACCCGTAGCACTGACGTCTGTAGCCATGAAGTGCTTTGAAAGGCTGGTCATGGCTCACATCAACACCATTATCCCAGAAACCCTAGACCCACTCCAATTTGCATACCGCCCCAACAGATCCCCAGATGATGCATTCTCTACTGCACTCCACACTTCCCTTTCCCACCTGGACAAGAGAAACACCTACTTGAGAATGCTATTAATTCACTACAGCTCAGCGTTCAACACCAGAGTGCCCTCAAAGCTCATCACTAAGCTAAGGACCCTGGGACTAAACACCTCCCTCTGCAACTGGATCATGGTCTTCCTGACGGTCCACCCCCAGGTGGTAAGGGTAGGTAACAACACATCCTCAACACAGAGGCCCCTCAGGGGTGCGTGCTCAGTCCCCTCCTGTACTCCCTGTTCACCCATGACTGCATGGCCAGGCACGACTCCAACACCATCATTAAGTTTGCCGACAACACAACAGTGGTAGGCCTGATCACAGACAATGATGAGACAGCCTATAGGGAGCAGGTCAGAGACCTGGCCGTGTGGTGCCAGGATAACAACCTCTCCCTCAACGTGATCAAGACAAAGGAGATGATTGTGGACTACAGGAATAAAAAGAGGACTGAGCACGGCCCCTTTCTCATCGACAGGGCTGTAGTGGAACAGGTTGAGAGCTTCAAGTTCCTTGGTGTCCACATCACCAACAAACTATATCATGGTCCAAACACACCAAGACAGTCGTGAAGAGGGCACGACAAAGCCTATTTCCCCTCTGGAGACTGAAAAGATTTGGCATGGGTCCTCAGATCCTCAAAATGTTCTACAGCTGCACCATCGAGAGCATCCTGACTGGTTGCATCACCGCCTGGTATGGCAACTGCTCGGCCTCCGACCGCAAGGCACTACAGAGGGTAGTGCGTACGGCCCAGTACATCACTGGGGCCAAGCTTCCTGCCATCCAGGACCTCTATACCAGGCGGTGTCGGAGGAAGGCTCTAAAAATTGTCAAAGACTCCAGCCACCCTAGTCATAGACTGTTCTCTCTGCTACCGCTCGGCAAGCGGTACTGGAGCGCCAAGTCCAAAAGGCTTCTTAACAGCTTCTACCCCCAAGCCATAAGACTCCTGAACAGCTAATCATGGCTACCCAGACTATTTGCATTAATTGTATTTTATTTGACTGTGTGAAATAGCAATTTTATGTTTGTGTGTTATATAGTGAGCCCTACTCACCCACTCCACCGAAGGGTAGTGCACTGAGAGAGTAGTGCACAAGACAGTCATTAGCCAACACTCCTCCACTAGAGGTCTCTGCTATCATTTTTTTAATCACCTATAGAGAGAGATAATTAAAAAACTGCCCACCACTATTGTTTTGAAAAGAAACAGTTGCTGAGCATGTGTTCTCTATATGTATGAGTAGTTACCTTGTCATCAGGTGAGAAGATATAGAGGGCGAGGGGTTTCTCTCCCTTGTTGATGAAGTTGATGGCCTCGTCCACTCCGCTGACCGTCAGGATGGGTAGCAGGGGACCAAAAATCTCCTCCTGCATCACCTTGGAGTTCACCTGCACGTCCTTCAGCACTGTCGGAGCTGAGGAGGGGCGAGCATAGATATGGATGAACTAGATGTGTCAGGGAAACCAGTTAACCCCATAGCAGCACTGTAGGGGCTGAGTAGGGGAGAATATATACAGTACCAGTCAAAAGTTTGGACACACTTACTCATTCAAGGGTTTTTCTTTATTTGTACTATTTTCTACATTGTAGAATAATAGTTAAGACATCGAAACTATGAAATAACACATATGGAATCATGTAGTAACCCAAAAAGTTTTTTTAGATTCTTCAAAGTAGCCACCCTTTGCCTTGATGACAGCTTTGCACACTCTTGACATTCTCTCAATCAGCTTCATGAGGTAGTAATCTGGAATGCATGTCAATTAACAGGTGTGCCTTGTTAATTGACATGCATTCAATTGACACGCATTCTTTCCTTCTTAATGCGTTTGAGCCAATCAGTTGTGTTGTGACAAGGTAGGGGTGGTATACAGAAGATAGCCATATTTGGTAAAAGACCAAGTCCATGTTATGGCAAAAACAGCTCAAATAAGCAAAGAGAAACGACAGTCCAGCATTACTTTAATATAGAGGTCAACTAGATGGGAAACCAACTTTAAGCCCATAGCAGTACTGTAGGAGCTGAGGAGGGGAGCATACACAACTAGATGTGTCAGGGTAACCAACTGTAGGGTATGTGGTGGGAATAGATATACATCAACAAGATGGGAAACCCACTTTGACCCCATAGGAGTGCTGTGGGAGCTGTGTGGAGCATAGATATACATAAACTAGATCTACAAATAAGGGCTTACCACTAAAACAAACTGCTTGGTACTAAATAATGTAGTGGGATTTGTTTGTGTATATAATAACCATGGGCCTGTAATGTATGTGGTACCTATGGAGATCTATGACTGTCATACTAATAATAATAACTTATTCAACTTGTATAGCGCTTACAGAAAGCATCTGAAAGGAAAACAAAAGGCAAAACAAACAAACAACAAATTGTAAAGATGGAGATTGAATAGTGTCTCTAGTCAGCTACAAATATTGGAAGGAGATGAGGCAGTTTTGATTGGAAAAGTGATACCTACAAGTATGTATCATTATGCCTGTCATAAGTAGTACCTATGTAGCATTATGCCTGTCATAAGTAGTACCTATGTAGCACGTTGACTCGTCACTTTCCCCTCCTATAGCGATGGTGCTGTCCTCTGTCATGGCCATGATGCGTTTGAAGTGGCGCTGGTTGATGATGCGTCCATAGTCGGGGCAGGTCTTGGGGTCCTCTGTGTAGAAGGCCTGAGAGGAAAATAAATGTACACAAATGACCAACTTTAAAGGTCAATATTTACCGTTTCAATCTTAGTACATTACATAATAGACAGGTTGCCAGACAATGTCATGAAAATTATGAAATAAAATTATGACAAGAAGCTGTAATGTGGGAAATCGTAGGTGGCTTGTTTCAGTTAGTTGTATCTTATTCTTGATACCATGTCTTGTTTTGAGGTGTTTTGACTTATGTCACGTCTATGCTAATATGTCAAGAATTCGCTAGCTAACCAACAACTGCAACAATGTATTTGAGAGATCACAAGTGCTTACTGTGCAAGTGTATTTATGTTTTCAATAAACATTTGGAGACTAAATATTGTTTATTTCCTTTGATTCTAAGCCAATGGTGTCTGTTTTGCACCAAAGTTGCACACACATCGGTTTTGTTGCTAAACAACCCACCTGTCTATAATGATGATAATCTTGTGAGAGCACTGGTTTTGTGGGACAAAAACGTCAGGAAAAAGCCTGTCAGTACCTTTATGTATCCTACTCAAAGCTTGGTTAGTGAAGGCAGATATATACTCCTTTTTATACTCCCAACATAGTGATTTGTACTTTGATGGACTTCTTGATCTCCTCCAGCACGCGGTCCTGGATGCTGGGCTCACACAGGATGTAGTCTGGAGCGATACATGTCTGCCCACAGTTAGAATACTTCCCCCAGGTCACACGCCTACAGGACAGAGAAGTGGAAAGGACAAGGGCGAGAAACAGAAGAGAGTTAGATCTGTTTGTTTCTGTATCTGTGTGTGTGTTCTCTTACCTGCAGGCGATGGGAATGTCACAGTTCTTGTCGATGTAACAGGGGCTCTTGCCCCCCAGCTCCAAGGTAACGGGGGTGAGGTGTTTGGCTGCTGCCTCCATCACCAGTTTGCCCACCATGCTGTTCCCCGTGTAGAACACATGGTCGAACCGCTGACGCAGCAACTCCTGGGTCTCTGAGACACCCCCTGTCACCACCGGGTACAACTCCTAGAGATGCAGGGAAAAACACATTGTTATTTACAGGTACAACCCATTATGCATGTTGTTATATACAGGTTACGTAGAAATACCTTTACGTCATTTAGCAGTCGCTATTATCCAGAGCGACTTACAGGAGCAATTAGGGATAAGTATCTTGCTCAAGGGCACATCGACAGATTTGTCACCTAGGGGATTCGAACCAACTACCTTTCAGGTACTGGCCCAACGCTCTTTCCCGCTAGGCTACCTGCCACCCCAACAGGGAGGTAGATACACACTATTATATACAGGTAGATACATCATGTTATACACAGGTATCTATATAGATAGATACTGTATCTAAGATACAGATACTGTATGTTTATAACAGGTGTACACCCCTCCAAAAAAGCAACCAGTTCCACCTTATGAGCAGTAAAGAGTGAGATGTGACGTGTGTATGAATAGCAAGTGTGTTTGTGTGTGTGTGTCTGTGTGTGTGTGTGTCTGTGTGCGTGCTATGGATGTGACAAATGGACAATTTTGCTTAAAGTTTAAACAGCCATTCTTTTATTGGTTTTCCGTTAAAACTATAAGAAAAAAATAATGAAATTCCACGTCAATTCACAATGCTGAATAATGGTCCTATTACGAAGGTGTGACTGCTAGGGCCGGGCAATGAAGTAATATCTACCACAGTCATATACCCTTGAAAGCATCTCGGCTACGGCATTATTGTTTGTCTGTAAGGGTACACTACGGCTTTTTAAATGCCGACACTAAACCTTCACTCGAGAAGGTTTCGAAGTGCAATTGAACAGGCATTTTACTTGTCTGTAAAGGGATGCCATTTCTGAAGCGGGACTAACGTCCATCACTAGGTGACCAGAATTGTCAATCAAATAATCTTGAGCTGCCTGCGCACAGCCTGCCTGCTGCCTGCGTGCAAAGTCAGACCACTCTTTCCTAAAAAAGTACTTTAAAGTTTGTTAAATACCTTACCAAGACATTTAGTAGAAAGAAAACACATCTTCCGCTCGGAATCGACTCCTAAGATTCAGTATTTTTGGAACGGAGGTGACTGATTAGTTTCCGTACTCGCGAGAACACAAACACTTACATCTTTCATAGCGAGCTAGCGAGGGACGGAGAGAGAGGGGAGGGGCACAGTATAGGCCGGTAGGCCACCAGGCAGACGGAGTCAGAACCGTGCACTAGGCCTATCTATCGGCAATCAAAAGCTACATATCACAATGGAATGCTGTATTTCACAATTTCTTGGCTTGCAATGTCTTGAAAATTCAGTAAAGCAGGGCCTATCATTAATGAATAGGCTAGGACGTTCTACACGCAACAGACCTAAGACTGAAAACAAACTTGCGTCATTAGCGAAGAGAAAGAGCAGGCGAGACAGCTGCACTATGATTGACATTTTGTGTGGAGGGGATTTTTTTTTTTACATTGTTTGTCCATTTGGGATTTTTCTTAACGTTAATGATCCCAATTTCGTTTAAATGTTCACACCCCTAGTGTGTGTGTGCGTCTGTGTTACCTTGTCTATGTAAGCGGGCAGCAGGTCCTCCATAACTTTGGCGGTGTGGACACACACCTCAGACGGCTTCACCACAGCAGCGTTGCCTGGCAAAGAGAATAATACAGTTGTTGTTAGCATTAGCTTAAGGATGCTAAGACAAACAATGGAGTTATACAGTGAGGGAAAAAAGTATTTGATCCCCTGCTGATTTCGTACGTTTGCCCACTGACAAAGAAATGATCAGTCTATAATTTTAACGGTAGGTTTATTTGAACAGTGTGAGACAGAATAACAACAACAAAATCCAGAAAAACGCATGTCAAAAATGTTATAAATTGATTTGCATTTTAATGAGGGAAATAAGTATTTGACCCCCTCTCAATCAGAAAGATTTCTGGCTCCCAGGTGTCTTTTATACAGGTAACGAGCTGAGATTAGGAGCACACTCTTAAAGGGAGTGCTCCTAATCTCAGTTTGTTACCTGTATAAAAAACACCTGTCCACAGAAGCAATCAATCAATCAGATTCCAAACTCTCCACCATGGCCAAAACCAAAGAGCTCTCCAAGGATGTCAGGGACACAAGGCTGGAATGGGCTACAAGACCATCGCCAAGCAGCTTGGTGAGAAGGTGACAACAGTTGGTGCGATTATTCGCAAATGGAAGAAACACAAAAGACCTGTTAATCTCTCTCGGCCTGGGGCTCCATGCAAGATCTCACCTCGTGGAGTTGCAATGATCATGAGAACAGTGAGGAATCAGCCCAGAACTACACGGGAGGATCTTGTCAATGATCTCAAGGCAGCTGGGACCATAGTCACCAAGAAAACAATTGGTAACACACTACGCCGTGAAGGACTGAAATCCTGCAGCGCCCGCAAGGTCTCCCTGCTCAAGAAAGCACATATACAGGGCCGTCTGAAATTTGCCAATGAACATCTGAATGATTCAGAGGAGAACTGGGTGAAAGTGTTGTGGTCAGATGAGACCAAAATCGAGCTCTTTTGCATCAACTCAACTCGCCGTGTTTGGAGGAGGAGGAATGCTGCCTATGACCCCAAGAACACCATCCCCACCGTCAAACATGGAGGTGGAAACATTATGCTTTGGGGGTGTTTTTCTGCTAAGGGGACAGGACAACTTCACCGCATCAAAGGGATGATGGACGGGGCCATGTACCGTCAAATCTTGGGTGAGAACCTCCTTCCCTCAACCAGGACATTGAAAATGGGTCGTGGATGGGTATTCCAGCATAACAATGACCCAAAACACACAGCCAAGGCAACAAAGGAGTGGCTCAAGAAGAAGCACATTAAGGTCCTGGAGTGGCCTACCCAGTCTCCAGACCTTAAACCCATAGAAAATCTGTGGAGGGAGCTGAAGGTTCGAGTTGCCAAACGTCAGCCTCAAAACCTTAATGACTTGGAGAAGATCTACAAAGAGGAGTAGAACAAAATCCCGCCTGAGATGTGTGCAAACCTGGTGGCCAACTACAAGAAACGTCTGACCTCTGTGATTGCCAACAAGGGTTTTGCCACCAAGTACTAAGTCATGTTTTGCAGAGGGGTCAAATACTTATTTCCCTCATTAAAATGCAAATCAATTGATAAAATGTTTGACATGCGTCTTTCTGGATTTTGTTGTTGTTATTCTTTCTCTCACTGTTCAAATAAACCTACCATTACAATTATATACAGATCATGTCTTTGTCAGTGGGCAAACGTACAAAATCAGCAGGGGATCAAATACTTTTTCCCCCTCACTGTAGGTTAGCACTGGGTAGTAAGTCTTGGGGCAGAAAAATAAAGTTGGAGTTGGAGTGATGCCTTATGAGTCGGGCCAGACATAATTTTTGCAATTTACTGGCATAGAAAGAGATCCTTATTCTATTTCTATGTTTACTTATCTCTTATTCAGTTTAATCAAATGTTTGGTTCACCCCCCTAGCACTACACAGCTGATTCAAATAATCAAAGCTTGATGATGAGTGTCACGGATTCTGCCGAGACTGCTCCTCCTCCTGGTTCGGGCAGGCTTCGGCGTTCGCCGTCCCCGGAGTACTAGCTGCCACCGCTCTATGTTTCGTAGTGTGATTGCTTTTGTCTGTATTTTACACCTGTTGGGTCCATTTGTGTGTTGATTACTTGTCTTATAAGTTCCTTGTTTTGCATTAGTCTGATGTGGTGCCCACGCACTCTTACACCATCCCATCACCAACGGCCAGTCCTCCTCTCTCAGCACCGGAACCCAGTGGCATTCGGATCTCGCTCCCGAGGGCATATGACGGTTCTGCAGCCGGGTGTCAGGGATTCCTCCTGCAGGTGGAACTCTACCTGGCCACCATACACCCGGCGCCCTCGGGATACGAGAGCGTCTCCGCCCTCATCTCCTGTCTATCCGGCAAGGCGTTGGAGTGGGCCAACGCCGAATGGAGGGGAATAGACGCCGCTACCATCACCTACGCGGAGTTCTCCTGCCGCTTCAGGGCTGTCTTCGATCATCCACCTGAGGGGAAAGCGGCGGGAGAGCGTCTGTTCCACCTCCGACAGGGGAAGAGGAGCGCACAGGAGTTCGCACTGGAGTTCCGGACGCTAGCGGCGGATGCGGGGTGGAATGAGAGGGCCCTCATCGACCACTACCGGTGTAGCCTACGAGAGGACGTTCGTCGTGAGCTGGCCTGCAGGGACACCAACCTGTCGTTCGACCAGTTGGTGGACATTTCCATCCGTCTAGACACCCTGCTGGCTACCTGCGGACGTCCCGAGTGGGGGTCGTCCATTCCACCCTCCAGCACCTCCGAGCCGATTCCCATGGAGCTCGGGGGTGCTGGCGCTAGAGAGAGGAGGAGAGAGAACCCGAGGGGGGCCATCCCCTGCACCAACTGTGGTCGTGGAGGACACACCGCGGCCAGGTGCTGGGGAGGGTCTCCTGGGAGAGGGGACAACAGGTCACGCACTGGGGAGTCATTTCAGGTGAGTAGGCGCCCCACTTACCCAGAGCTTTCTGTTGGTCACATGAGTATTCCTGTGAGATTTCCACAGGTGGCACCTCATTCCCAGCATAAGGCGCTAGTAGATTCAGGCGCAGCTGGGAACTTTATTGATCGGGCATTTTGTTGTAGGTTAGGAATTCCCCTTCGGCCGGTAGAAGCTCCATTTCCTGTCCACGCCTTAGACAGCCGGCCGTTGGGGTCGGGCCTGATCAGGGAGGTCACAGCACCACTGACGATGACGACGCAGGGGGGTCATGAGGAGATCATTCAGTTTTATCTGATTGACTCTCCTGCGTACCCCGTGGTGTTGGGGCTTCCCTGGTTAAGCACCCATGATCCTACCATTGCGTGGCAACAGAGGGCTCTTATGGAGTGGTCTGCCCAGTGTGTAGGGAGATGTCTAGGTGTTTCCGTAGGGGCGACCTCGGTAGAGAGTCCGAACCAAGTGCCCGCACTGCGCATTCCCCCTGAGTATGAGGACTTAGCACTTGTGTTCAGCAA